GTAAAACATTAGAGTCCCTAGGCATTAAAGAAATTATGTCCATTCTCTCCCATGAGTAAATCAATATGAAACAATACTAAATAGCAAAAGTAAGTGAAGGGAAGTCCAAACGATCTTATTTTTCCTATGTGTGTGGGTGGAATAATGACTCTCCAAAGATGTCCATGTGCTAATTGCTGGCTGCCGTGAATATGTCATGTTCCATGGCAAGGATGGATTAGGTTGCAGATGGAATTAGGTTGCTAATCAGCTGACTTTGAGATGAGGAGATTATTCTGATTATCTAGGTGGCTTTAACATAATCGCAAGGGTCTTTATAAAGAAAAGAGGAAAGCAAGACAGTCAGAGTCAGAAGCAGAGGGTGGAACGATGCAGTCCCTGGCTTTAAGGATGGAGAATGGGCGAGAAGCCATGGAATGCGGCAGCCCCTAGCAGCTGGAAAAGGCAAGAAAATGGATTCTCCTGTAGGGCCTCCAGAAGGAACGCAGCGCAGCCAACACCTTGACTTTAACCCAGGGACACTTCTAACCTACAGAACGAAAAGTATTTAATAATAAATTTGTGCTGTTTTAGGCCAATTCCTTGCCATAAATCTTTTAATCTCCTACTGGTTCTGCTTCTCTCATTGAACCTGACTGATATACATGGTAACCACTTTGATTCCCTGTTTAATGAAAGTATGAAATATCAAAGTCTTTTAAAAGTTTTTGTTCGGGCCCATTTTATTGACAGCTTCAGCATCTTCTGAGCTTTGGGAAAATAGTGATGAATAAGACTTCGAGTCTCTGTAAAATTGAGCTAATAGGAGTACTTATCTCATAGCGTTATTATGAGGATTAAATAAATGACCGAACATAATGCACTTTGAATAATGCCCGGTACAAAGTAAATGTTCGAGAAACTTTAGAAGAAATGAAGACCGAAGCAAGTCAATGCTCCTTGCTTTCAGGGAGCTTATATGCTAAATATAAATGGGCCATAAACTCAGGGAAGAAGGAAAGAAGAAAGGAAAGGAGGGCGGGAAGGAAGAAGGGAAAAAACAACTGATAGTGACAAGTGCTTCAGAGACACTTATTTATGTTTAAGACTTTATGTCGCATTGGCAGCCATGGCCAAATCCAGCTTGCCACCTGTTTTCATATGGCCCATGAGTTAAGAATGGTTTTACACTTTTAAATGGTTGAAAAAAATCCAAAGAAGAATAATATTTCGTGATATGTAAAAATAATATGAAGCTGGGAGTGATGGCGAGCGCCTGCATCCCAGCTACTCAGGAAGCCGAGGTGGGAGGATCCTTTGAGCCCAGGAATTCAAGGCTGCAGGGTAGTAGGATTGGGCCTGTGAATAGCCACTGTACTCCAGCCTCAGCAGCACAGCGAAACCCTCTCTCTGGGAGGCCAAGGTGAGAGAATCACTCGAGCTCAGGAGTTCGAGACCAGCCTGAACAAGAGCGAGATCCCCGTCTCTACCAAAATAGAAAAAATTAGCCAGGTTGGTGGTGCACACTGCAGTCCCAGCTACTCAGGAGGCTGAAGCAGGAAGATCACTTGAGCCCAGGAGTTTGAGGTTACAGTGAGCTTTGATCATGCCATTGCATTCTAGCCAGGGCAACAGAGCAAGACTCTGTCTCCAAAAAAAAAAAAAAAAAAGAAGAGAAAAGAACATGAAATTCAATTTTCAATATCCATCAAGTTTTACTGAGTCCAGGCACTGTGGCTCACGCTTATAATCCTAGCACTCTGGGAGGCTGAGGCAGGAAGACTGCTTGAGCCCAGGAGTTCGAGACCAGCCTGAGCAAGAGCGAGACCCCGTCTCTATTAAAAATAGAAAAAATTAGCCAGATCTGGTGGTGCACGCCTGTAGTCTCAGCTACTTAGGAGACTGAGGCAGTAGGATCGCTTGAGCCCAGGAGTTTGAGGTTGCTGTGAGCTAGGCTGATGCCATGGCCCTCTAGCCCAGGTAACAGAGCAAGACATTGTCTCAAAAAAACAGAAAAAGTTTTACTGGAACACAGCTATGCTTATTTATATTGCCTATGCTGCTTACACACTACAGAGTTGAGTCGCTGCTACGAAGATCATAAGGCCCACAAAACCTACACTATTTACTGTCTGACTCTTTACAGAAGAAGGTTGCCAATCCATTCTTTAGACTGAGTGGTCAGGGAGGGCTTCCCTGAGGAGGTGACATTTAAGCTGAGACCTGAATAACAAGGAAGAGGAAGACTGGATAAGGAGGAGGGCAGAGCTGTCCAGGCAGAGGGAACAGAGAACAAAGACAGGACCTTTCTCTCTAACCCTTCTAAAGAGAGACTCTGTCAAAAAATGTGACAGGGTCCTGTGGCTCTAAGGATGCTGTGGCCTCTCAGGGTCCCAGAACCTGTAGGTGTCAAGCGGGGCTTGGTATCCAGGACTGCCTGGCACCAGAACTTGCTCTGCCCCATGCTGGCCCCTTCTCAGCCTGGCGCAGTACAGGAGCCCAGGAACTACAGTTGAGTGGCTTTATTTGCCTTCCTGGGGCAATGACTGGAATTTCAGATTTATTCCCAGGAATAGGTAAGAAGAGCCACGGACTCACCCATGGGCCTGAGAGCATGTGCTCTACAGACTCAAGGTTGGCAGCAGGCCCAGAGGAGGCCACCACTGGGAGCCTCACGACCATCACAAAGCCCTGACCCAACTTTGACAGGAGAACCTGTGGCAAGGGCAGTGGGTGGGACAGTGGGCAGAGAGGAGCAGCCCTCCGTGAATCCAGCTGGCTGGGATTTCTTGGCACTGGGAGAAGAGTGTTAACCAGTGTGGCCAGAGAGAACCCAGCTCTTAATCCTTTGTGGGCCAGTTCTTTCCTCCCGGGCTGTGTGCTAAGGGAGGAAAGTAGACTATCAGCCCCATTTTAAAGCCAGAGAAGTTAAGGCAGTGGAGGGCAATGGGGCTACTGGTTAAAAATGCAGACACTGTGTTTGAATCCCAGCTTCAGCATTTGCTAGCTGTGTGATTGCAGGCAAGTGGCTTGACTTCTTTGTGCTTCAGTTTATGGATAATGACAGCATCTACCTCAAAGATATGTAAGGAATTAAGGAAATGATAGCCCAATGCCACACTACAGGAGGGACTCAATAAACATTGGCAGATCCTAATGACATTCTCTCAGTTAGCTTTGACAACAGTCCTAAAAGGTCTTGGAGGACCAGCATAATGAACACTATCTGGGTGATAGGCACACTTTGAACCCTGACTGGAGCATTACAACAGCAAACCATGTAACCAAAAACATTTGTATCCCCATAATACTTTGAAATTAAAAGAAAAAAGTTTGAGGCAGACAGATCTCTTCTCCGTCCAATTCTTCAGGGCCAAAGCCATGACATCATCCTTGACCCCTCTCTTATATGCCATAGTCCATCAGCAAACCCTGCTTTCAATATGCACCCAGAGTCCAACCCTTCCTGCTACCTCCAGAGTATCACCTTCATCCAAACTGCCACCAACTCTTCCCCAGATTATTTCAAGGACCTCCTAGCTGGTCTCGGGGCCTTCCATCCTCACCCTCCCACCCCCAAGCAACTGTCCACAAGCAGCAAACCTCATGTCACTTCTCAATCCAAAACCCTTCTATGACTTCCTAACACAGCTACCATTAACAAACGCATTTATTTATTTATTCAACAATTACTTATTGAGTGTCTACTATGTGCCAGGTAATGTTCTAGTCATTGGAGATAAAATGTAAAACAATATAAAAAAAATCTCTGCATTCATGAAGTTTCCATTCTCGTGGAGGAAGTGGACAACAAACAAATATGTTAGGTGTCACGTGGAAAAATAATTCAGGGAAGGTGGTGGCCTTGGATTTTAAGTAGGGTGGTCACGGAGGCCTAACGCACAAGGTAAGGGTTAAATAAAAGCCTTCAACAAAAATCCTTAAAACAAAAGGGTTAAACAAAAGTGGGAAAGAGGGGAGCCAAAGGGCTACCTAGGAAGAAAGCATTCTAGAGAAGAATCGGTGCAAAGGTGGAAATGTTCCTGGTGTATTTTGGGCACAACAGGAAGCCACTGTGATGATATTGGAAAGTTGGGGGCAGGGGAAGAAGGAAAGCTCTTCCTCAGAGAAGAAAAGGAGGGGCGGTGTGAATCCTGTAGGTTTTCCGAGGTTTTTTTCTCTGATGGAGATTGCAAGCCACTGGAGGTTCTGCGTAGAGGAGTGACTGGAGTTTCAAAGGATCACATTGGGTGTGGAAGACCATCAGGAACAAGAGCAGAGTCAGAGAGACTATTCAGGGACTGCTGCGACTATCCAGATGAGATACTGAGATACGGTGGCTTGGATCAGGAAGGCAGGTAGCAGCAGGGGAGGTCCATCAGATCCAAAGGCCTTACGATAAGGTGCTGGCCCTCCTGATGGGGTCCCTCCCAGCCCTCCAACCTCACCTTGTTCCTTCTGGTATCCCCAACCCCACAGGCACATAGAAGACACCTGTTAAATATTTGTTGAATCAATGAACAAATTAACAAATGATCTATCCCTAGATCAGCGTCTATTTTAATGCTAGGCATATAGTTCGAACTCAGTAAATGTTTACAGATGAAATACTTAACAGTCCTGCAAAGACCAGGGGTTACCCCTCTCTACAGCTGAGGGAAACTGAGGCTCAGACTGAGGAAGTGTTCCCCCTGGGGTCCCTCTACACAATGGGGCATCCTTCCTTCCCAACCCTTAGTGGAGTGGGCACTGGGTGGAGGGTGCTTGTCCTCAGGGTGAGTCACAGTGACCGCACAGGAGTTTCCCCAAAACGTTCCCGCCCTGTGGTGAGGAAAAGCCAGAATCTTTTGGGGGCCAGAAGATCATGTGGCCAAAGCCGGACACACATCCTGAAACTCACCCCAGGGCGGGGATGTGTCCTCCCACGCGCCTCCTCCCACCCTCGGGCCACTGAGACGAAGAGACAGAGGGCCGCCCTCGCGCGGCCGAGGCCCCGCCCCCCACGCGCCCAGCCGCCCGCGCACCCGCCCCTCCAGCGGAAGCCGGAAGCAAAAGCGGGCCCGGCTAGTCCCGTGGCTGCGAACTCGGTGGTCTTGGAGGCTCCGCAGGATGGGGGAGAAGATGGCGGAAGAGGAGTGAGTGGGCTTTTCCGGGGCGGCGGAGGCGGCAGGGCTGGGCCCCGGCGGGTGACAGCGAGCGCCTCAAGCCGCCCTCCGGCCCCGGAAGGCGGAGCTCCTTGTGCCAGTTGGCCAGGACTGACGATGCCGGTGCCTACGAGGAGGGCGGGATGGGCGGGCCTGGGCCCAGGCGGGCCCTGCATTCTCTTTGAGGTCGTTCCCTCGAGCTGGGATCGGCCGCCCAGCGCAGGCCCGGAGAGACGTCTTGCGGAAACTGCAACCCATATTTCATTTTCCCAGTCTTTGGTCGTCTGATCGTTACTGAGCGCTCTCCTCCGCCTATTCCAGGAAGTCGTCCGGGTCCCCCACACCCATTCCCTACTTAGCCAGTTTCCTCCTGCGCTGTAATGATCAGTTTTCGTGTCTGTTTCTCCACTAAGTTTCATTCATTCATTAACTGTTGGCCGTCTATTCAATTTCAGGCCCTGGGCACATGATAGTGAAGGAGGCCAACCAGGAGCCCCCATAAGGGAGCTTACATTCTAGTGGGAAAAGAAGACCATAATAGAGAAAGTGGTTTCAGATGAGTGCTCCGAAGGAAATGGAATAGTGTTAGGGTGGGGAAGGCTACTCAGAAAAAAGTGACAGTCGGCTGAAACTTGAATGACCTGAAGGAGGGCTAGAAGAGGTAACAGCAAGTTCAAAAGGCCTGAGTCAAGAAAGGGTTTAGTGCTTTTGAGCGACAAAAGGAAAGGCAGGATTGTAGTGAGCAGGGGGGCTAGCACAAGGTGAGAATGGAAGGGGGTCTGTGTCCTCCAGGTACTTCTGGGCGAGGACGACTGTTACGTCCATTTACATACCTGTAGGGCACAGTCTGTTATGTGTTATAGATGCCCTATCCCTGTTTGTGGAATGAGTGAAGATTAACAAGGAACCCTTTGATTGATACTGGACTCCCTCACCTGATAACATTTCAGATACGTTTCTTGGCCAGCCAGGTTGGCAGGGGTCATTTCATGTAGTCACCTTATTTATTGAGCATCTGCCTTGTCCCAGACACTAAACTGGGCTTCAGCAACACAAAGCAAAAGAGATAGTATATAGCCCAGTGATTTGAAGTTTGGATTTGAGGCTTGATTTTGCCACTGACTGAGATGTTGGCCAAATTATACAACCTCTCTGAGCCTGAATTATTCATGGTTAGAAAAAAGAAAAGTAATAGTACCCACCTCCAGCATGTTATGCCTATTAAATAAGAGGTGATGTGTTAACCTGGTGCCTGGAATAAATATTCCAGGTGCTCAATAAATATTAACTGTTAGAATCACAGTTACAATTATTATTGTATCGATATTGCACTAGTTCACAATCCCAACACAATATGAGGAGAGAGCTCTGGGAACAGAAGCAGTGGGGTGGGTGAATTGGGGTGTGGTGGGGTATTACAGAGGAGGTAGTATTCAAGCCTTTTGAAATTTGAGAAGGATTTTGTAAGGTAGGTAGGGTATTCCAACCAGATCAACAACTGGGTGAATGCAGGGGGCATCTTCAACTTGAGGAAATAATCTAAGGACAAGAATGTAAATGGAGAAATAAAGGTGCTAACAGGGTCAGGCCCTGGAATGTGATGAGACTCCAGTTTGCCTGCCTTTAAATCTCCCTTTAAATGTCAGAGAGCAGGCAGCATTTTGTTTCTACCCCAGCCTTGATTCCCCGTTGTTCCTGTCCTCTAAGTGACTATTCAAAAGCACCTGAGGCCACTGGCACCTGTGTGGGCAGGGATTTTCTTAATCAGTGTCTCTCTGGGGCCTGCCTGTCAGTTACAAGACTTGCAAATCCTATAAAGCTCTTTCCCAGCTTCCCTTTCTGGTTTAAGGTGTGTGTATTGATACTTTGGGCTCTTTTTTTCTTTATCTAATTCTGCTTTTTATGTCCTCTAGTAGGTTCCCCAATACAACTCATGAGGGTTACAATGTCACCCTCCACACCACCCTGGTTGTTACGACGAAACTGGTGCTGCCGACCCCTGCCAAGCCCATCCTGCCCGTGCAGACGGGGGAGCAGGCGCAGCAAGAGGAGCAGTCAAGCGGCATGACCATCTTCTTCAGCCTCCTCGTCCTGGGTGAATATGAGACGCGGTTGGCTGCCGTCTTCTGCCTTCTTGGGTGTCTGTGTGCTCTGTGTGCTTAACCCTCTCGCTCCTGTTTCCTTTGTCTAGTCTTCCTCCCATTTGGTTTTCACTTCAAACACTGAGAGAAAATGATCAGTTCATAACATCCCAGCAGGATTCTCCTTTTTTTTCTTTTTTATAAAATCATGTCACTTAGCAATTCTGAAGAGCTCTTAATGTAATATCTTAGATGCCTTTGAAAGAAAGAACTAAAGAATTTTTGACCTAGAAAGAATCTTGATCGTCTAGTTTAGTGGATTTCAAATTCTGCTCATACAGGGGGTGTGTGTGTGTGTGTGTGTGTGTGTGTGTGTGTGTGTGTGTGTGTGGTGGTGGTGGCAGGAGGTGGGGGGAGTCAAATGGGAGGGTGTCCAACCTCCTGACCCTAGCTTCAGCCAGAGCAGCATTTTTTTTTTCTTTTTGGACAAGGTCTTACTATGTCACCCAGGCTGGAGTGCAGTGGCCTCTTTGTAGCTCACTGCACTCCCAAACTTCTGGGCTCAAGCGATCCTCATGCCTCAGCCTCCTGAGTAGCTAGGACTACTCAGGCTTACACCACCACACTTGGCTAATTTTTCCATTTTTTTATAGAGTTTTGGGGTCTTGCTCTTGTTCAAGCTGGGTTTGAGCTCCTGGCCTCAAGCAATCCTCCTGCCTCGGCCTCCCACAGTGCTAGGATTACAGGCGTGAGCCACTGTGCCTGGCCTAGAGCAGCGTTTTGTCTATTATGTATATTAGGCTTCCATGTAAAATTTTATTTAGTTAAAGGTTTTGCTGCTGAGTAAGAGCCCCAGCGCCCTGTTTTCTTCAACCTCTATCATTCTCATTAACTGTGGTCCTAGCTTTTGCCATATCTGTGGATCACCTGCACTGTTATTATGTAATATTTTTGTTTAAATGGATTAACTCTCAAACTTAAAATCTCATTTTATTCGATCTCCTCCTTTAATGGGTGAGGAAATTTAGACCCAGAGAGGTCACATGATCGACATACTTGGATGGTGGAAGACTAAAGTCTGACTAGAGTCCAGGTTTCCAGACATCAGTCAAGAATCTTAGATAGGCCGGGCGCGGTGGCTCACGCCTGTAATCCTAGCACTCTGGGAGGCCGAGGCGGGTGGATCGTTTGAGCTCAGGAGTTCAAGACCAGCCTGAGCAAGAGCGAGACCCCGTCTCTACTAAAAATAGAAAGAAATTACTTGGACAGCTAAAAATATATAGAAAGAATTAGCCGGGCATGGTGGCACATGCCTGTAGTCCCAGCTACTCGGGAGACTGAGGCAGAAGGATTGCTTGAGCCCAGGAGTTTGAGGTTGCTGTGAGCTAGGCTGACGCCACGGCACTCTAGCCCGGGCAACAGAGTGAGACTGTCTCAAAAAAAAAAAAAAAAAAAAAGAAGTTTAGATAAAAGGCAAAAACTGAAATGCCTCCCAGAGGCAGTAGACAGTAGACAACTGTTTTAGACAAAAGAAATGCAGTCAAAACTACACAACCGCTTTTGATTAGCTGACTAAGGAAGAAATAGCTTAGAGTTTGACCCAAGTCCAAACTCTTGTTTGAAAATGAAGTTGGCACATTTACATTTTCTGCTTTTCTTTAATGATACCATAGTCATATTTCTAATGAGATTAGATCTATTCAGAAGGTTGAAAGGTGGAACTGGGTTTCTGTTATTTCTCTGATGTCTATTAGGACTGTTTTTTGAGGAAAAGAATAACTTCTTTCACATTTATATTCAGACTCTGGTAAGTGATTAAAGGATTTTAATAATATAGTGATTTTATTTGGAATCCTAGGACTCATCCTTGCCTTTCATAGAGTTTTAGAAACTTTTAAACCGAATACTGAAAAAGTACACATACCAGAAGTGTACAATGTCACATATAGATTTCATACACCCTGGTCATTTTTTTACCCTATAAATGTAGTTGAATTCTGTTTCTGGGAGATTACTTCAACAATCAAGAATTCTTTTTTGTTTTTTTTCCATTTTCTTTTGTTATAGTTATTGAATACAAAGAAGAAAAGCAGTTCTTGATTAAGAAATCTTTAGTAGCTGAAGTCTTCCTTCAGGATTAAAGCATACTAATCTATTTATATTGTAGTCAGCTTGGTATGTTAAAGAATGTAAAAGACAGGCTTGGAAAAAAGTCTTGTAATCACTTTTTTAAAGAGAGGTTGAAAAGTATAAGAAGTAAGACTTTCAAAATGACTTTCAGGATGTGGAACATTTAAGATTAGCTGTGCCAGAGAGCACAGAACAGGTTTCTGTGACGTGCTTTTAAAACTAGACAAAATCCTGCCCAGTGTTATTTCTTTGGGGCCAGAAAGGGCTGAACGGTATTTAATAGTGCTGTATATTTCTCTTGGATCGTCTTCTCTTCAAACAGATTATAAAGCTAGACTGTAGAGTTACATTAATGTTAGGTGGGTTTCATTTTCACCTAATCAGATTCTTGATAGTTTATGAGTTGGTATCTCCACCTACGTGTAGGTCAGCAAGCATTAGCAGAATGGAATGATGCTTTTTTTTTTTTTTTTAAGTAAATTTGAAGGAACTTTTTCTCTGTTCTTATATGTTATTATTTATTTATCATTAGATGTCCAAACAATGTAAAAATGACAAAGTGAACAAAAATTACTGTTAATAGGTAACTTGCTAACTAATAAATATATGAACTATAGTGAATCAAGGGAAATTAGTCCATAGTTTATTTTAGACCTCAGGAACTCCTGATCTGGAACTTTTTTTTTTTTAAGACAGAACCTCGCTCTGTCATCCAGGCTAGAGTACAGTGGCATCATCATAGCTCACTGCAACTTCCAACTCCTGAGCTCAAGCGATCCTCCTGCTTCAGCCTTCTGAACGCCTGGGACTACAGGAGCTTGCCACCACGCCCAGCTAATTTTTAAATTTTTTGTAAAGACTGGGTCATGCTATGTTGCTCAGGTTGGTCGTGAACTCCTGGGCTCAAGTGATCCTTGTGTGATCATCACAACTTGGCCTCCCAAAGTGCTAGGCATGAGCTACTGTGCCTGGCCCTGACCTGGAACTTATTTGATACTTCTATTTACTATTTTAGTTAATTCAAATGAAATCGTGTCCTGAAGCATGTCACAGGATTATAGCATGTCCCCCTTTGTTGAAAAGGAATGCCAAAACTTCCGTAGTTACTTTTGACTTTTAGAAGCTTGAAATCGGTTGACTTGGCATTTAAGCCTTCCTAATCTTTGACTCACAAAAAACAATGGTGAGTCATTGTTACCGACTTACACTAGAATTAACAATTCATTTCACACATACATTTTATGGGCTATTAAGCTTAATAGAGTTATTAAAATTGACATGTCTGTGTTTTAATATATTTTCTATAATTACTACTTCAGTCCTGAAGAATTGGAAGCATGTTAACTTATGGTATACACACCTTCCATGCCACATAGAAGTTTTTGTCCTTTCTTGCTCTGTTTTCTTCTAAGTGTACTAGAAAACATATGCTTATATTTGTATATACGTATGTATATTCATAAGCATATACACATATACAGGGAACACGTGTTTGGAGTTTTGAGTTTGTTTAACATAAATGGGGTCCTTGCATTTTCATTTCACAGAATATCTTGAATTTCTTTCTTTGTTGATGTTTTTTATATCTACCTCATTTTTTTTATTGTAGGAAGATACACATAACAACATTTTTACCATTTTAAACTGTGCCATTATAAAGTGTGTAACTCAGTGGTATTTAGTACATTCACAATGTAGTGTGACCACCACTACTGTCTAGTTTCAGAACATTTTAATCAACCCAAAAGGAAAGCATTAAAAGCAGTCACGTCCTCCGTGATCTTGAAGTATAAAATAACAACAACAACAAAAAGTAGTCACACCCCATTAGCCCCTCTCCAGTCCCCGGCCACCTCTATTCTGCTTTCTGTTTCTAAGAATTTGCCTATTTAGAATATTTCACATAAATGAAATAATATAATATGTGGTCTTTTGTGTCTGGCTTCTTGTACTTAGCATGATGTCTTCAAGGTTCATTCATGTTGTAGCATAGGTTGTAATAGAATTACATTCCTTTTTTATGGCCGAGTAATATTCCATTGTATGGACATAGCACATTAGGTTTATTCACTCGTCAGCTGATGGACATTTGGGCTGTTTCCACCTTTTGGCTATTGTGAATACTGCTGCTGGGAACATTTTGTGTATAGGTTTCTGTGTGGATAAATGTTTTTATTTCTCTTGGATATATACCTAGAAGTGGAATTGCTAGATTAAATATTACTCTATGTTTAACTTTCTCAGGAACTACGAAACTGTTTTCTACGGAGGCTGTGCTGTTTTATAAGGTTTCTGTTTTGTCCACATCCTTGTCAACACTTGTTTTTGTGCTTTTTAAAAAATTATAGCCATCCTGGGCCGGGCGTGGTGGCTCATGCCTGTAATCCTAGCTCTCTGGGAGGCCGAGGCGGGCGGATTGTTCGAGCTCAGGAGTTCGAAACCAGCCTGAGCAAGAGCGAGACCCCGTCTCTACTAAAAATAGAAAGAAATTAATCGGACAACTAAAAATACACAGAAAAAATTAGCCGGGCATGGTGGCACATGCCTGTAGTCCCAGCTACTCGGGAGGCTGAGGCAGAAGGATTGCTTGAGCCCAGGAGTTTGAGGTTGCTGTGAGCTAGGATGACGCCACAGCACCGGGCAACACAGTGAGACTCTGTCTCAAAAAAAAAAAAAAAAATTATAGCCAACCTGGTGGTTGTTAAGTTGTATCTCATTGTACTTTGATTTGCATTTCCCCAGTGATTATTGATGTTGAGCATTTTTTCGTGTACTTATTGGCCATTTGTGTTATATGTCTTTTTTGGAGAAATGTCTACTCGGATCCTATGTCCATTTTTGAATTATTTTGTTTGTCTCTTTGTTGTTAGGCTTTAAGTTTCTTTATGTTTTCCAGATGCTAGACCGTGATCAGATACATGATTTGCAAATATGTTCTCCCTTTCTGTGGGTTGTCTTTTCAGACTTTATTCTTTTTAATGGCTGAAGACAATCACCTGGCATCGATGAGCCTTATGTTTAGCTCTTTCTATTAATAGACAGTTTTCTCTTTTGCTCTTAAGGCTGCAAATAGTTGTTTATATATGAGAATCAACTTTTTACATTAATTTTTAAAAATCTGGTTTGGTGCAAGGGAAGAGCAGAAATTGATTCAACTTCCTTGGTCTATTTTCTGTCTACTTATGTGCTCATTTTCCTGCTTTTTTTTCTTTTTTCCAGACAATAGGCATGCTCATTAGTCACATGTGCTTGTGCATTAGAACTCTTTTCTTGCTCTTAGTATTTAACGTAGGATTTTCTAACTAGGTTAAATATTTATGTTAAAATAACACCACAGATTGATAGTTTAAAGCACAGAATGAAAGGAGGACAAAAGTTTATTTACAACATTCTGGCCACCTGGTGCTTTTTGGTGGGATTAAAGAAATCTAATTTGTCAACGCAGGCGCTAAGGGTGGCCAATTAAACAGCAGATTGTTTAAACAGTTCCTTTAAAAATTAATTTTAGTACTATCAGATTAAATACTAGGTGATTAAATATGAAATGCCCAGTTTTGAATCAAAAGTGTAGTTTATTATATCTCAAACAAGAAGCAGTACGATTAATCAAAGTATGTGCCTAAACTATGGATGCAGTTTTTTTTTTTTTTTGAGACAGAGTCTCACTCTTTTGCCCGGGCTGGAGTGCCGTGGCGTCAACCTAGCTCACAGCAACCTCAAACTCCTGGGCTCAAGCAATCCTTCTGCCTCCGCCTCCCGAGTAGCTGGGACTAAAGGCATGCGCCACCATGCCCGGCTAATTTTTTCTATATATTTTTAGTTGTTCGATTAATTTCTTTCTAATTTTAGTAGAGACGGGGTCTCGCTCTTGCTCAGGCTGATCTCGAACTCCTGAGCTCAAACAATCCGCCAGCCTCGGCCTCCCATGGATGCAGTTTTGCGATCTTAATGGTAACTTGTTTATGCCAGCAGCAAAGAAGCCTGGAGAGCGAGTGGTGATGAAATCAAGAAAGGTGTATGTTGAGAATTGAATATTTTTCCTTGCAAGAAGTGGTCCAAAGCCAGGAAGAAGTGGTAGTCAGTTGGTGCAAGGTCTACAGTTACCCAAACAGAATACAGTGGATGACAGAGAGTTTCCAAGTCCAACTTCTATAGTTTGAGCAGCGTTGCTTGTGCAACATGTGATCAAGCATTGTCTTCCAAGAGTGTTGTCCTGTCTCTGTTGACCAGTCTTGGCTGCTTAATCGCAAGCATCCTCATCATTTCATCCAGTTGGTTGCAGTAGACATCCACTGTAATGGAGTGACCAGGTTTCATGAGGCTGTAGTGGATAATACCAACGCTGGACCACCAAACAGACACCATTTTCCTTTTTGATGAATATTCAGTTTTGAACTGTGTTTCGGCACTTCATCTTTATCCAATCTTTGTGCCGAATACTTGGGATTGTCAAAAAGAATCCATTTGTCATCACATATAAACAATACAGTATAGAAATGGTTTGCCTTTATGTCATGACAGCAAAGAAAGGCAAGCTTTGAGACGATTTCTGTGCTGATGCTCATTGAATTCATGTGGTACCCATCTATCCAGCTTCTTTACCTTGCCGATTTGTTTCAAATGGTCCAATATTGTTGGAATAGTAACGTCAAACCTTGTTGCTAATTCACACATAGGTTGAGATGGATTCGCTTCCACTACACCTTTCGGCTCATCATTATCCACTTAGGTCTCAGGTTGCCCCCATGGCTCATTTTCAAGATTAAAATCACCAGAATGGAACTTCTCAAACCATCCACGTACCGTGCCTTCATTACATCCTTCCCAAACGATTCATTGATATTTCGCGTTGTCTGCACTGCATTGGTTCCATGACAGAACTCATATTCAAAAATAGCACAAATTTTTGACTTATCCATGGTTTCACAAAATTGCTTTAAAAAAATTTGAAAGATAATCACAAGCCAAATTGTGCGTTTGAAAGACTGAGAATATACCTTCACAATAAAAATAAAACAGGAAATGTCAAAGTGAAATGTCAGTGTATCAACTGTCAAACTTAGTACTTAAGGAAATCAGACATTTCATACTTAATTAACAACCTAATACTACTGTGATTGATGAGCTGGTATATCACCCAGGTGCCTAATAAAAGAAAGAGGCCTGCACGCTAACATTTGGATTATGAAATTACATTCAGGAATTATTTGTGCAGAAGTATGCTATTTTAGGCAGATCCAGAAATACTTATTCTTTTCAGATAGTTTTACATCCTCTTCTTTTCTTTCATGACAACACCCCTGTGAGGAAAGTTGGGCGTCATTCCTATTTTGAAGGTTGAAGGCGGCCACCAGGAACGAGGTAGTGGTTACGAGAGCAGAGCTGGAATCTGACTCGGTGCTGCAGAACCTACCAGGGGTGTGATGTCTTGAAGCCTCAGTTTTCTCATCTATAACCAGTGCAGATAATGCTAATAACAGCTAGTTTGGGGGGGAATTGGGGGATTAAGTGCGACAGTGTTTGGGAAGTGCTCAGCATAGTTCCTAGTTCATGGGAGCCATCAAGCAGTGGGCACGGCAGGACACAGCTGTACCCAACTAGGGAGCATGAGTGTCTCATGTTCAGATCTCTTTGATGTTCTTGTCACTGACTGTTTACTTTTGCGTGTTTGTAAAACACCCTCACTTCTTCTGTGTTAAAAGAGAGCCAGTCACATGGTGGCAGAATACTTTGTGTCAACATAATCTGTTGCAGTTATAGTTATGTAAAAGTGATTGATTTCATTGACTTCCTCCTTACCATTTGGAGTTTTCCAGTTGATGATTACTTCAAAAAAGTTGAGGGCCATTTCTCAGAATCAAGAAAATTTGAATAATTTTAAATGGTTATGTAAGATTTAACAGCTTATAAAAAACTTAGATTTCTGTTGCTTTTCCAGTAACTACTAGAAAATGAACTAGTTTAGGCATACAAAAACATATAGAGAAAATATAATAAACACTGTTAGTCTATCTCCAGGGTAAAAATTAAGACATTAAAAATACAACTGAAGGCCAGACGCAACGGATCATGCCTGTAAATCCTTGTGCTCTAGGAGGCTGAGGCAAGGTGGGAGGATTGCTTGAGTTCAGGAGTTTGAGACTAGCCTGAGCAGCAAGAGCGATACCCATTTCTACTAAAAATATACACAATAAGCCAGGTGTGGTGGTGAAGGCCTGTAGTCCCAGCTACTGAGGAGGCTGAGGCAGGAGAATTGCTTGAGCCTGGGAGTTTGAGGTTACTGTGAGCTATGATGACACCACTGTACTCTAGCCAGGGCAACAGAGTAAGACTCTGTTCCAAAAATAAATAAATGAATAAAAATAAAAATACAACTGAAGTTCACTGTGTCATTGCCAACTGTCCATTTTCCTGACAGCACCCCGGAAATAGCCAATGCCTTGGACTTAGTGTTTATCATTCAAAATTGGGCTTTTTCTTCTTTAACAATGTCTTATTTTTTTCTCACAGCTATCTGCATCATATTGGTGCATTTACTGATCCGATACAGATTACATTTCTTACCAGAGAGCGTTGCTGTTGTTTCTTTAGGTAAGTGCTTATTGGTGATCCCATAATAAAAGCAGTAACAATAACTACCACTTTTTGAGTGCCTGTTTAGTGCCAGAGCCACAAGAGATGCATTACGTACCTGATCTTATTTAATCCTGCCACAAGGATGTTATGATACCATTTTACAGATGAGGACACTGAGGCTCAAGAAGGGTGGTAACCTCCTAAAGGTCATGTAAAAGCCCATCTGTACAGCTTGAAGGTGCTTTGCTTTCTAGGCCCTTCTACTTGTGGTATGACTGCCCTTGGGGCACATTGACTGCTGTCTGCTATGTGGCTAGGCTGACGTCTAATTCAACTAAGGTAAGTAATTGACACTCAATTCATAGAATCACTAAATTTCATAGGCAAAAGGGACTCTGACTTTACAGTTGAGGAAGGAGAAATGGCTCACTTATGTCAGAGTCAGATGGAAAGTCTTCCGAGAGCATTGCATTCCACTTACGTTTTTCTTTTGTTTCTTGTGCCGACTAACTGTTAAGATAATTAGCTTCTAGTTGGAGTGAAGGAATCAGTGTAATAACTGGTGTGAACACACATGCAAGTTCATTGAAGTAGTTAGGAAAAAAAGAAGCAAGGACATTTCAGTAAGTATTAAATACAAGGCTAAAATGTGGGTGGGATGCTTAAGGCATGGTAAATAAAGTTTCACTAAGGTCAGCCAAAGCTTTAATCAGTTTATTATATTGTAGTTACTTTTACTAGTTTCTACTTGTCTACTGATGTTATTTAATTTTTCCTGATGACCACTGATGCTTTAGAAGTTAATATTCTTTGCCTTGTAGATCTTGTTTAGTGGAGTAGTGATTCTTTCACAGTGCAGCTATGGCTTAGGTTAGCTTTGGAAATGAACATTCAGACTCTGTCCCCTGGCGTCCCCTTTCCCGCATCACCACCTGACTTCCCACTATCCTGGCTCAGACCTTCCGGTGTTTTCCCTGCACTTCACAGCACTGCTAAGTTCCAGATTCTGCCCTGTGAACTTTCACATTGCCATCACATTTAAGCCTCAAAACCTCCAGGTGATGCCATATTTTAAGGAACAGGCACCACTGGGTATTATTGATCTTCAGTACAGAGTTGGAAATCAGTTTTACTCAAAGAGTTCCTAATCACTTTTTAGCAGGTTCTTTAGCTGTGTATCTTGGCAGAGTCTAACAAGATAGTCCTAGAGCTCTAGGAAATAGGAGGCTTGCTCATTAACATTCCGTTCTGCTATTAGGCATGAAAATAAGCTACATAGCTAATATCCGTTATTCTGGGACATTCAGTAAAGGCTTGAAAAACCACTCCAAGGAATTTGAAGTTTCATAGTTTCTTAAGAATGAAAATTATAGTTGGTATGTATTTAGGTATTATACACATGAAAATTAAAAGCATAGGTCTTACAGTTTGATTTGCAATGTTAAATTCTTCACTGTCTCTTGACTGGATAACTGCAGCTCACCGAACACCAGTGCCTGTATTAGGACTTACAGCCTAATACAAGCCCAGTACCCTTGGTTGCCTCCTGAAGAGTCATTTCCCTTTTTCCTTGAAAATAGAACCCTAACTTTGGTGTCTAACCATGGTGCACTCAAGGAAGTCCCTTCAAGTTAAGGTTGGTCCTTGCCATTATGTAGTTCCACTCTCCTTTGCCTGCGAATGGTTGAGGGGGTGGGGACAGTGACGTGGTGTTCTGGCCAGTGACACAAAGGGGAAGTCTACTGGGGCCATGGGTCCTGGAAAATGTTTTCCTCTATGATAGAAACGAAACAAGAAATTTCTCCTTTCTTCCTTTGATGCTGCTGAATGAGGGTGTGATGCCTGGAGCACTGGTAGCCATCTTGCAACCACTATGTCTCAAAGACAAAAGCCGGAATGCTAAGGATTGCCAAGGGGACAGATGGAAAGCCCAGATTCTTAATTGCATTGTTGTTTTATTGAATTGATAGCCCTGGAGCTGCCTTTTTCTGTGCTACCTCTTTTATGAGAAAATAAACATCTATTATTAAAATATAATTCACATATCGTAAACTTCACCATTTTAAAGTATACAATTCAGTGGTTTTTAGTATATTCACAGGGTTGTGTGACTATCACCTCTAATTCCAGGACATTTTCATCACCCCCAAAAGAAACCCCATACCCAATAGCAGTCACTCCCCATTCTGCACCCCACCTTCACCCTGTCCCCTGGAAACTATTCCTCTACTTTCTGTCTCTATGAATTTGCCTGTTCTGGACATTTCATATCAATGGAATCATACAATCTGTGGTGCTTATTTTTGGCAACAGCTTTATTGAGACATCATTCATATTCCACGCGATTCACTGGTTTAAATGTACAATTCAGTGGTTTTCAGTATATTCACAGAGTTGTACAACCATCACCACAATCAACTTTAGAACATGTTTATCACCCCGGAAAAAAAAGCCATACCCTTTAGCCGTCATCCCCAAACTTCTCCTCCCCACCCCTAAACAACCATTTCTGTCTCTATAGATTCATCTATTCTGGACATTTAATATAAATAGAATGGTAAAATATGTGGTATCTTGTGTCTGGCTTCTTTCACATGGCATGTTTTCAAAATGTATCCATGTTGCAGCATGTATCAGTACTTCATTCCTTTTGTTGCTGAATAATATTACATTATGTGGATATACCACATTTGCTTGTTCATTCGTTAGAGCTGATGGACTCTTCAGTTGTTTCCACCTTTTGACTGCTACAGATAATGCTGTTATGAACATCTGTGTACAAGAACATATGTTTTACATGAACATATGTTTTCAGTTCTCTTGGCTGGATTTCCTGGGTCATATGGTAACTCTACTTAACTTTTGAGAAATTGCCAAACTGTTTTCCACAGCGGTTGCACCATTTTACATTCCCATCAGCAATGTATGAGGGTTCCAATTTCTCTATGTCCTTGCCAACACTTGTTATTTTCCATTTGTTTAATTATAGCCGTCCTAGTGGGTGTGGAGTGATATCTCATTGTAGCTTTGATTTGTACTTCCCTAATGATTTATGAGGTTGAGCATCTTTTCATGTGTTTGCTAGCCATTTGTGTATCTTCTTTGGAGAAATATTTATTCAATTTGTGGCTTTTTGTGTGTGTGTGTGTGAGACAGAGTCTCACTCTCACCCAGGCTATAGTGCCGTGATGTCAGCCTAGCTCACTGCAACCTCAGACTCCTGGGCTCAAGCGATCCTCTTGCCTCAGCCTCCTGAGTAGCTGGGACTACAGGCACACACCACCACACCCCACTTCTGTGACATTTTTGTGCTATGCTCTAGAGCTACTAAAACGAATGAGACAAATCTACGTATATTTATTAACAATCCCTGACTAGATTGCTAAGACTTAACATTGAGCAAAACAGCAAGTAGTAGAATGATACATTATAATACCATGTTTTATATAAATACACTAAGGCATGCCATGCATGTATATGCACACACTCACACATACACACCATTACTATATGGTTAAATACACACACACACACACACACACACACACACACACACATACGTTTAAGAACATATAGACAGGTTGGGTATAGTATTCCCCCAAGCTTATAAAGATGGTTTATGACCTTGGGCCAGAAAGAAAGAGAACTAAGATGGGGGTAGGATATGATCAAAAGGGGCTTTTGTCTTATTTATAACATTTTACATCGTATTCATGAACTGTTTGGCTAATAAAAAGTTTAAAATGCCATAAAATGTGAAATACAATTTGAAAAGATAAGAAAAAAGGAGCTCTTGGGAAACTCTAGCAGTTGAGGGGCTAGAATGCGGGCTTTGTGCCCCTCGGCAAATGAATGTACAAGCACTGTACTGAAAATGTGTTCATTGATGCCCTTTATATAGCTCAGCTATATTTTTGTCCTGGTCCGTTTCTCTTTTTCAAAATAATTTTGTTATTGTTTTACTAATGTGTAATAATACAAATAGTAAAAAGCTTCATAAAGTTAAAATGAACTTATCTCCTCTGGTCCCCTCAAAGTACCCACCCCCACCGCCTCCAGCAATTAGGGTAAGCACAGATCCTCTTCCTGTTAAATTTCTGTGTTCTGGTACTGTCTCCTGCCCCACCCAATAAGGTGTATTTCTTCAGCCTTCTCTTGATGGGGAGAGCTCGTTCCTCTGTAGGAAAGGGGGGAAGTCTGCATCTAGAAGCATCTATGGCAGCTGTCTGCAGGCTTGCTTTGTGTCACCCCCTGCCAGACGTTGTGATTTGGTAGGTAGAGTTCTGCTTGGGTGTCTTTAATTTATAAAAAGCCCCTGTGGTGATTCTGATGAACCATCAAGGGTAAGAGTCATTTATCTAGTGAGCAGCAGAGCAATCGTGAATTGTACCCATGCTGTTTCTTTGGGAATTATTTTTGGTGGTGCTTTAGGAGAGAATGATGAGCCTGTCAGCTTTATAGAAACATGCCTGAACTTAGATGGTCTGTTTTCTTCCAGGAATTTCACAGAACTTTTACTTTAGGTTATTTTTGGCATTTGGGTTTTATCTCTAACTAAATATTTGACGTAGAGCTGCCATCTGAGTCTGAGAAAGTGATCGTGGATTCTTTTTTGCAAATGGGAGGAATAAACAATATAGGGCGAACTTAGCTTGTAAACTCCCTGCCATCTCACATTGAAAATGGGTGGATGTAGCAGAAGTGCCCGGCATTAAATCTTCCGTGCCAGCCATGGTGTCTGCAGGCCTTACTTTGTAAAGCTCTTTCTTCTCCTCAGACTTTTATAGACTTCATTATGGTGTGTTTGCCTGAGATCCAAATGTGAGAAACTCATGTGACTCATAAAACTTCACACTAATTCCCATTCTTATGTTTTCAGATGTAAAACTTGCAGAACTCTATAAAAACCATTTATAGACATAATGAATACTACTCAGTTTCTCTAGAATAATGAACCTGAGTAATCTTTCTCATATCTTAAATTTATGTTAAACTTTATGTTTTCTCTTTTAGGTATTCTCATGGGAGCAGTTATAAAAATTATAGAGTTTAAAAAACTGGCAAATTGGAAGGTACGTTTGCCCAACTGTTCGTTTTTAACATAAACACAATTTTTGGTTGTTCTTAATTTTAGTAACATCGATGGTTATGCTGGCTTTCTTATCGTTAATTGACTTTCAGTGGAGTTGTTTATATTCTCCCATTAATTTTTTAACATTGTATTGGATCCAGGTTGATATCTTTACATCTGAGTTTTTGCAAAAAGCATAAATCTCACACTGTTTCAGGTGAACATGGGAGCACTCAATGTCATGTTTTCTTATTATTTGCATTTTTATAACCCTAGACTATCCTACTTTATTAGGTGGGGAAAAGACTTTAATTAGCATTAAACATTAAATAATGTTTATTGCTCCCGATTTCATTCTGACAGCTGAGGACAATAAAATATATTTGTCCAGTACTATAGAGGTTACAGAGTGCTTTATATACTTTAGCTCGTGTTGTCCTCATGACAGCCATGTGAGGGAGGTTGACCAGGTGTTATCACCACCCGTTTTTATAGATGAAGAAAGTGGCACTCAGAGAGCTTGGGACATATCTGTGTCAGAGCTGCAGAGAAAGTGGCTGAGCTGAGTCTTCTGTCCAGACCCCTTGGTCTTGTATATGCAATATTCCTCCATCATACCATACTGTCCTCAGTTTGCTGATGTGTTAATACACCCCCTTATGTTTACAGAGTGGTTATTAGGGTGTGAGCATCACTTTGGGGTGTGAGAACTAATTGAAACTCGAATTTCAACTTAAACTTGAGCATTCATATTGAGTAGAATGTTATAAATTTGATTTTGTGGAGAGAAATAAGGTTCATTTCAAAATAATAATTATGCCACTAGAATTTATCACATTAGAGCTACATCTTAATTTAATGTAGCTCCTAGGTTAATTTATCTGTGAAACCATAGATTGTAAAATTTGCAAAACAAGGCTCATAGTCTGACCTAAAACACAATTTGAAACTGTTATAAATAATAGTCATGAAATAGTCTATGTATTAAATGAGTTCTCAAAAAATATATATTGAGCTCCTAACATTGATAGAACTCCCTCAGCTGGGGAGAGAGTAGAGGAGGGGGCTGGGCAGGCTCCCATGGAGAACAGGGCATGTGGTATCTGTGCCTTCCTTCAGTTTGCTTGAATTTAACCACCCTGAGAGTGGGTCCCTCGAGGACAGGGTCACAGACTGAAAACCCTTTCTCTCTTCCTAGGCTGGATATGTCGTGATGTGTACATATTTTGTTTGATTTGACTCACTTCCAAATAAGATCACATTCCGAGGTTCCTAGTGGATGTGAACTGGGGCAGGTGGGGATGGGGTACACTGTGCAACCCCACTACAGGTGGGTTCTCCTTTTCCCAGGGGGTTTAGTTTTTGAAACTCCAAACTGCACCGATCCTGAGAATAGATTGTCCCATGAAACGCAGAGCTCAGCCCTTTTCTATATAGTCCCAGTCTGAGGCAGGAGCTTGTTGTACATGCTGTTATTTTAAGACTTAATAAGGCATTTCAGAAGTCATCATTTGCTTCTATTTTCAGCCTTTTTTGAATGTTATTTTAGTCTTAATAGTAACAGCTGTACATTTGTAAGAATACATTTAGGCATTCTTTGGAATAGGGATTTTGATAAGAAATCGGACTGTCGAGATTGCGACATGGAAATACTCACATGAAAAAGGGCCTGATTTTGCAGTTTTAAATAGACCTTGTATTACATGTAGCCATTTGGGCTTGAGGACCAATAGGTATTTTCCTCAAATTCTATCAACAACTAAAGAGATATATTAATATAGAAAATAAAATTCTCATTGTTTCATCCCCCCAAAGATGGCTGTATTCTAGGAATACCTTTCGTGATAGCACTTAATATTCAAATCTGAAAGCATGGTGCTGTGGTTTGGATGTTTTTCCCTTGAAACCCTCATGTTGAAATTCGGTCCCGATAATGGAGATGGGGCCTAATGGGAGATGTTTGGGTCAGGGGCAGATCTCTCATGAATAAATTAATGCCCTCCCTTGGGAGTAAATTCTCACTCTATTGGGTCCCTCAAGAGCTGGTTGTTAAAAAAATCCTGGCACCTCCCCACCTTTCCCTCGCCCTCTTGCTTCCTCTCTTGCCATGTGATCTCTCCCCTTAGCTTTCCACCGTGAGTGGAAGCAGCCTGAGGCCCTCACCAGATACCCAATCTTGAACTTTTCCAGACAGCAGAATTGTGAGCCAAATAAACCTTTTTCCTTTGTAAATTACCTAGCATCAGGCATTCCTTTATAGCGACATAAAATAGACTAAGACACATGGTAAGGGGCTCTCTTCATAGCCACATCCCAATTTGCAAGGGTATCAAGTGGGGACTATTTCATCACAGTCAGACTTAGGAAAATGGCAGTGTTGTCTCTGACAAGCAGAAAGAAAGCAGAGCTATTTTAACCATGTGTATGGTTAACTCTTCCTCTGAGTGGATTTTTTTTTTTTTTTTAGGGCTTACCATTACCTTTTTCCTGGAGGAATCCAATTTGTATACTTGTTTTTGAAAATGTTCTATCTGCTTTGAAATTTTCTATATTAAAATGAGTTTTCTTTTCCTTACTAAGGAATAAAAAGCATATTACTGTGTGTTTGGAAGCAATTCATTATCCTGTTTCTTTTGGTCGTCACCTTTTAAAATCCCTTGTCCTACATTTTAAAATGTAGTTTAATTTTGTGTGTGTGTGTGTGTATCTCTCCTGCTTGGTGTTAGTCATTTAAACATTATACATTTCCACTGGGCCAAGCCCCGAGAGAATAACTATTTTGACTCTTCATTGATAAATTTATTTCTTAATTACACAAATTCCATGTCTCTGAAAATACCCAATTTTTATTTACAGGAAGAAGAAATGTTTCGTCCAAATATGTTTTTCCTTCTCTTGCTGCCACCCATTATCTTTGAGTCCGGATATTCATTACACAAGGTGAGACTCAGGCACACATTAGTGCTTCTCTGATGTTTCTCATGTTCGTGAGGCAAATTCGATAAAAGCCTGGGTGTTAATTTAGCAGCAGCAGCTCTGTTGCTTGCTGGGCCTGCACGGTAGAAGCTGGACTGCAGTGCCTGACTTTTGCAGAGAGCAAACGTGATCCACTGGCTGCTTTAATGGTTTCAAGCAGTTTGGCTCATTGAGCCAGTGTTTTCTACAGGGGAATACTTTGCCTAGCAAGATGACCAAAGTGATTTTAAGTAACACATGGACAATACATTGACTCCTCTTGTTGGACACAGACTGACACATGTTAAGAGGACAGACTGTGTCCTGGGATGACAGGGAATGTGCCCCAGGCCATTTGCTTCTCTCAGCTCACTCTGTGGGACCTATCTTCCTCCTTAGGTCCATCCATCCTCCCCTGGGCCTCAACCCCCAGCTAACCTTCCTCCCCTTCATCTCCCAGCCTCCATCTCTTCCTCCCTCTCCCAGGCCCCACCTCTCCCTCCCAGGCTGGAGCCCCATCCTTCCCCACCTAGTCCCACAGGTGCTCCACCCATTCCGGCCTCCTTGGCTCTCTGGGCGTCAGTGTCACTGGCCTCTGTCCACTTCTGTGCCTTGTCTCAGCCTTGCTGGCCTCGGCCCTCCAACCCTCAGTGTGACTCTTTCTGTCTGGGCAGGAGCTTCTCACTCTCTGTGTGTGCATGTGTTTTGTTCCTTGTCTGTGAGTTTTCTTTAAATATTAATGTATTTAAGTATTAAAACAAGGCGATTCAACTTAGAATATTAATGATGCAACAGTTATTTTGTGAATGTGATTTTTAAAAAACTGTGAAGATTGGAAGAACAAAGGTTAAACCAGCCCTTGGAGAGAGCAAAGAACCTGGACTTTGGAGCCGGAGAGGCATAGGGCTGGTCCTGTGCTGCCCCCTACAGTTTCCTTTTTGGTAGAGGAGAAATTATTAATAAAACACCACCAAAAACCCTACCTCCCAGGTTGCTTTGAGATTTACACTAGGTGAAAGAATGTAGACAAAGCACCACCCACCACATTAAATAAATGGAGTGCTGCTGCTTCTTGTTACTGCTAATAACATTATTATCTATTATTAATAATATTAATATTACTAGTACTAATAAAAACTTACTAAACTTAAGAGTTAAATTTGTCAAGAGAGTTTTGATAAAAAACATACTAATTAAATCTTTAATTTTCTACCTGGGAACTAAAACAAAAATACCCTTAAGATGTTCAGTCCAGATTTTTTTTATAAGTTGTTATTTTATTGCTCATCTATCCAAAGAAAAGGTGAAAAGGATGTTTAATGTAAAAAAAATTTCCCAAGTCTTACAAATTGTTACTGATATCAGATAATTGTTAAAAAGGAAACAAACAAAAAGAAATTGAAGGTCAACATCTTTTACTCTTTCCTTTTGTAAACAAATCTTAAAAGAACTGTAAGCAGATTATGGAAATATTTCAAAACAATGCTGAGGAAGTTGATTTGATTCTGACATTTTGAATATTATATTAGATCATGTAAAGTTTTTATTTTCTAATTGTTTTGTAGGGAGGGGAGAGAAACTTGTTCAAAATTTGAGGAAAATAATAGTGTCTTAGAAAAACATTTCTTTGAAGATGACACTTCAGCAGAAAACATGACAACTTATGAGAAAGGGACTGATGGGAGTTGGAAATGCCAATTCAGAGGCTCTTGTCCACTTCCTGCCCTTCCCCAAGGAAGATAGAAAATTGACTTTGAATGTTTTATTTTAATATTGCTGTATTTGCTAATGTAAATTTGAAGCTGGAATACAAATTTCAGTAGGATTATCATCAGTCGATATGCCTTAAGTAGGCAGCTACTGTAAATATCATATAAAGAATAGGATGTTAATTATGCCAGAGAGAAATAGATAAATTTGCTTTATACAGCAGGTGAAAGTTCTTGTAATGTGGTAACTCGAATTTGGGTAAATTTGCAGTATCCAGATTAATATTAACCAGACACATAATTTATATCAGAATTAGATCCCTGTAAACAGACCAAGACCGAATAATCTATTTTTAAGTAACAAAATAAAGCAACTGTTTGCAAAGAAACTCAGAGATAAAAGCCTCTGTTTAGGCAAAACAAATCATATGTTGGCCTTGAGTTATTTTAAAATTCTTTGTGCACTAAAGATTGATATGCCAAACAAAGGAATTGAATGTCAGATTATGGGCAGCCAAATCAAAATTGCAGAGAAACTTCCTGAAGGAGATAGACTTATTGGAGCAGTCAGTGTTGGGCTGAGGATACTCTTTTTGAAGTGAGCTTTAAAATAGCAGGTCCTGACATCCCTGGCTTGACAATTTCTGAATGAAAGATGGGATTCTATTATTAGTAGTAGTAGTAGTACAAAATACTTGTATGTCTTTATAGGATACATGTGATGTTTTGATACAGGCATACAATGTGAATTAATAGAATCAGGGTAATTGGGGTATCCATCACCTCAGGAATTTATCATTTCTTTGTGTTAGGAACATTCCAATTTCCTCTTTTAGTTATTGTAAAGTATACCTTAACTTATTGTTGGTTATAGTCACTTCGTCGTGCTATCAGATATTGTTTATTCTATCTATCTCACCATCCCCACTTTATCTCCCTCTCCCTGCTACCTTCCCAGCCTCTGGCATCTGTCATTCTACTCTCTGTTTTCAAGAGATCAACTGTTTTTAATATTTAGCTCCCACATGTGAGTGAGAACATGGGAGATTTGTCTTTCTGTGCTTGGCCTATTTCTTTTTTTTCTTTTTTCTTTTTTTTTTTTGAGACAGAGTCTCACTCTCTTGCCTGGGCTAGAGTGCCATGGCATCAGCCTAGCTCATAGCAACCTCAAATTCCTGGGCTCAAGTGATCCTCCTGCCTCAGCCTCCTGGGTAGCTGGGACCACAGGCACGTGCCACCATGCCCAGCTAATTTTTTCTATTTTTAGTAGAGATGAGGTCTTACTCTTGCTCAGGCTGGTCTGGAACTCCTGAGCTCAAGCAATCCTCCCGCCTGGGCCTCCCAGATTGCTAGGATTACAGGCGTGGGCCACCACGCCCGGCCCTGTGCTTGGCCTATTTCACTTAACATAATGTTCTCCAGTTCCATCCATGTTGTTGCAAATGGCAGGATTTTATTCTTTTTGTGGCTATATAATATTCCATTGTGTGTATGCACCCCAATTTCTTTACCCATTCATCTGTTGATGGACACTAGGTTGATTTCAAATCTCGGCTATTGTGAATAGTGCTGCAGTAAACATGAGAATGCAGATATCTTTTTAATATATTGAATTCCCTTCCTTTGGATATATAGCCAGCATTGGGATTGCTGGGTCATATGGTAGTTCTATTTTTAGTTTTTTGAGGAACCTCCATACCGTTCTCCATAGGTTGCACTAATTTACATTCCCACCAACAGTGTGGGAGGGTTCTCCTTTCTCCACATCCTTGTCAGTATTCATTATTGCCCGTGTTTTTGATAAAAGCCATTTTAACTGGTGAGAGGATATGGTAGTTTTGATTTGCGTTTCCCTGATGACTAAAGATGTTGAGCATTTTTTCATATACCTATTGGCCATTTGTATGTGCTCTTTTGAGAAATGTCTATTCAGATCCTTTGCCTGTTTTTTAATCAGATTATTTGATTTTTTTTTTTCCAATTGAGTTGTTGGAGCTCCTTATATATTCTAGTTATTAATCACTTGTCAGATGGGTAGTTTGCGAATATTTTCTCCCATTCTGTGGGTTGTTTCTTCACTTTACTGATTGTTTCCTTTGCTGTGTGAAAGCTTTTTAGCTTGATGTGATCCCATTTAGAAAGATGGGACTCTTGTCCACACCCACAATCAAGGGTGATCAAAGCCTCTTGGTGGTGGTTCCTAAGTGGCACCCTGATTTATTAAGGTTCTCATAAACAGCTTAATTTCCTTAATTTTATGGAAATTTGAAAGATGTTTCCATGCTGCTGGGACTTGGGTATTTTCTCTTAAATGCTGTGAAGTATAGATGGAAACATATTTCATCTATCATGTTTAATGATGATACTAAGAGAGTGAAAGAAAATTGTTTAAAAGACCTGGACAGCAAAAAGAAGATTCTGATAGTATAAACTATTATCTTGATATTTTTTGTAATAATGCACCTTTTCTTAATTAAAGGAAAAATTATAATTGTATAGACTTTGGACTTTGACCAGACACGAAGCACAGTTAATTTCTTCAGTACCTGTTCATCGGGCATCTTCATCTGACAGGCCTTGTGGCATTGACTGTGCTGTGCACAAGCACACACATTGCCCCCGCTGAGCCTGCAGCCTGAGGGAAAGACAGACATCCGCCGGATAGTTACCTAAGTAAATGCGAAATTACAGCCATGCCAAGTGCTACGGGAGAGGGTCATTGTGCATTGAGAGCATGGTCTAGGATCTGATCTGGGAACTGGTTAAGGGATCAGGAAAGGCTTCCCCCAGGAGGAGTTGAAATATCCTGAGATCTTAGGATGATTCAAGTTCACCAAGCAAAGAGGCAGCACAACCTTCTCGGAGCTGCCAGTGTGACTAGAACCCAGAGAACAAAGGGGAATGTGGTGCCAGAGGGGGTTAGGGGCCTTCCCAGGGGTGGAGCCAACCCAGGTGGGTGTCATCTGCATTAGGGGGTTGGGGGAAGGCCGCACAATCAGATTTGTCTTTTGCAAACATCATTCTGGAAGCACTTGGAGAGTGGAGGGAAAGGGGCTGGGAAGGGCTGAGGAGACTTGTGAGAAGCCGTGCAGTGGTCCAGGTGAGAGATCACGTGAGGAACAGGGGCACTGAAGCAGGTGGGGGTGCAAGGAGACTCCCAGGTTTCCAGCTGGCCAAGCCAGGCAGGTGGTGGTGCCTTTACTGAGTGTCAGGCCTGCTCGGAAGGCCGGGTGGGTGGGCCGTGCCTTCGCTGACAGGACCGGCTTTTCTAATCATTTCTCTGATTTCTACTGTTTCAAACAGGGTAACTTCTTTCAAAATATTGGTTCCATCACCCTGTTTGCTGTTTTTGGTACCGCGATCTCTGCTTTTGTAGTAGGTGGAGGAATTTATTTTCTGGGTCAGGTAAGAAAAACATTTTTGAAAAACTTTAAAATCTTATGTTCTTTGAGCTAGTGCAGGGAGGTGGGGTAGGAACACCTCATGGGGCCTGGGTTTCCCTTTCAGCGTAAACGCCCTCCTGGAAGAAAAGCCCAGCTTCACATGAGGCCCATAAAGGCACGTTAAATTGTTTCTTAGTGTCCTCTAAGAACTTTGGTATGTGGAATTGAGTGAATCTTTTCCATAATCCCCAAAAGTATTTGATCTTATTTGCAAACTAATACTGTCTTAAATTGGAATACCTAAACATAAAGCAAAATATATAGCATCAGGAACTTCCAATTATAGCAATATCGGCTGTGTTGTCAGATAGACTGAGTTGGGGTTGAATGCTGTTTTTTAATAAAAATTTACATTTTAAAATCAATGATTCTGACTCTGTTCACTCAGTTCTAAGCTGTCTACCTGTAGAATTATATAGTCTGGATTTTCTACCGCTGCTAAACCACTTCCCAGGGGCATCAATGGGGTGTTCTGTACTTTAGCCTTTAATGTGAATTAATGTAGACCAAACATCCTCCAGGAGCGTAGTTTCTGTAGTTTTGCATTATGCATGTCCAGCATGTCACAGTTCCTTTCCTTTATTGCCAGTTGCAGAAAGTTTGCCTGCCCCCCTTCTGAAAACTAAGTGGGTGTCAGGCACCTGGGTGACAGGCAGATTTCTCTTACACATGTCAGCTGTTCTTCTCTTGATAGCCAAAGCCCATTCCATATGATTTCCACCTTTATTCCTGCCTCAATGACACCAGAATAAATCTGTCTGTCATGCAACTTTGTTCATTGCTCAGCTTCTAGTGTCAAAGAGAAATAAACTCTAGAGAAGAAAACTGCCATTAATTGGGCTTGATAAACGTAGCATTCTTTTCCATACTTTTGTTGTATGATGATCGAATGCATGCTTAAACCAAAACTTAGGAGTTTTCTTTATTTTTCAAGTGGTTTGGGGACTGAAGATTAATGTCCTTATTAGTTTTAATGAAGCACTAATGGACATTTTAATCTTCTTGGCTGTTCTCCAGGGGTTTTTTTTTTGTGTCTGTGTGTTTGTGTGTTTTATTTTACAGGCTGATGTAATCTCTAAACTCAACATGACAGACAGGTAAATCCTTCATACTGTAATATCCATGTGACTGCTTTTCAGACTGGGGAAAATTTTCTCCACATTGCTTCCTGGGCATGGTACTTTTCTATTCTCTTCCTCTTGCTTTTCTCTCTCTCTCTCTCTGTCTCTTTCTCTCTTATTTATTTTTGCTAAGGATTTCTACTGTAGAATCTATTCTGAATTAATTTATGTGTCTGAAATGAATCAAAACTATATTGAAGACTTTTGAAGATCCCTAGTCCGAGCATTGCTGATTGAAATGATTGATTCAGTTTAAGCTTTGGAGGGAGTGACTCTGGTCTGCTAACTACCCCGTCCGTACATACCTGCTAGTACCCTGCTCTGTTGTCTTTCTATGATTTCTAAGTCTTTTCAATAGCCGTAATAAAAAGCTGTCTTCTTGAGAGGTGAAGGATGGGGAGAGTGAGCAAGAAATGTTTACTCTGAGATTCCCACCAAGTCTGGGATGGGCTTGGGGTGGGGGCAGAAGGCAGGGCCAAGGGCTCTATTTGAATACCCCCCTCAATCTCAGCTACTCCGGTGAGCACTCTCCCGTGAGCTGCTATCTAGGAGGCCCACCCAGGAATTTCCATAATTGCTTAGTGAGAAGCAACGAAGGCAGCTGTCTCTCAGAAGGTACTAGATCTAGTGCTGAAAAAGTGCCCAAGCAGAGCGCAGCCTGGTGTGCCCACACTGAGAGTATGCAGCCTTACTCCGTGTGTCCGCGTCCAGCATCCGTGCTTGGTTTGGTCTTGTGGCCCGGCTGGAGACCTGGGCAGTGGGGCCAAGTGGTGAGCCCCACCCAGGCCCTTGCCATGAGGCCAGCCAGAGCTTTCAGGCTTTAGCAGCAACTTAGCAACTTGGGACTAGAGTCTTGGAACCCTTTTCGTGGGAAATGTGCCTCGGATAACAAGTCCAACCCCATTCCCACCTCCACTCACCACCCTCCCCTGCCCGGGACATAAATTTTGGAGCTTTTGTTGCAAGACAGTTTTGATATATAAGCACATCACATGCCTCTTCCACAGGAGCTGAAAATAAAGCAGAACTGATAAAACGTGTTTTGCAGGTATTTTGCAAGTGGAAAGAAATGCCCTAAACCCAGTTGACCTCAAGGAAGGTGTCACAGCATTCAGACCTTCACCCTGTTTGGGAGGCAACTGGTTAGAGATACAGAGATGCTGGATAAATGTTTGTGAAATTGAATTGAATCAGTGGGTGGGGTGTTCAGATGCAGGAGAGGAAAAGAATTGCCCGTAGACAAGCCGACTGAGAGCCGGGTAGGGTTCTCTCTCCATGTGCAGATGCTTTTTCTGCTGTTGGAAAGTGACTGTCCACAGACAGGGGCTGCTCGGCGTGGCAAACCCACACCGCTGCAGGGCCTGGCAGAGCACTCAACAGAGGGAAGCTGGCCAGGTGCGAGTCTAGGGATGGGACAATGGCCAACAGGAGAGCACATCCTGTCAGAAAGGGAAGCCATGTCTCACCTCCACCTAATAATCACCATGTGAAAATATGGGCCCAGAATTACTAGATATTAATTAATTATTATTATTATTATTATTATTTTTGAGACAGAGTCTCACTCTGTTGCCTGGGCTAGCTAGAGTGCCGTGGCGTCAGCCTAGCTCACAGAAACCTCAAACTCCTGGGCTCAAGCGATCCTTCTACCTCAGCCTCCTGAGTACCTGGGACTACAGGCATGCGCCACCATACCTGGCTCATTTTTTTATATATATATATTTTTAGTTGTCCAGATCATTTCTTTCTATTTTTTAGTAGAGATGGGGTCTTGCTCTTGCTCAGGCTGGTCTCGAACTCCTGACCTTGAGCGATCCACCAGCCTCGGCCCCCCAGAGTGCTAGGATTACAGGCGTGAGCCACCGCGCCCAGCCCAGTATTACTAGATATTTGAAGTAATTTTTTTTCAAAAGAGGCCAGGTTTCTAGATTTTTGTAGAAAACCTTTCAGTTTTTAAATGTTGATAACTTGCTCAATTTTTCAAAGACACGATGCAGGCTAAACATGAGCACCACAGACCTTTGCAATCTCTGCACTATAGAAAACATAAAAATGACTTTGTTGCACAAATTTCATTTTAGTGATATTTCTGCAGGAGAGAGATTTCACTCTTAGGTGCCTTGCCTTGTTTCACTATCCCAGTCTATTTAATTTTTATTTTGTTACTGTTGCTATCTTTTGAGGTGACAGAATAAAGAAAACACATTTTTAAGTTGAACTTCTAGCTTCTAGCCTTTCAAAGGACTGGCCACGAAGGTGTGGCCAGGTTACATGACTTCTTAGATACAGACCTCTCGATGATTCAGGCGTTTCTATTTCAGACTTCGTATTCACTATCAGAAATACCCTGGCTCAGTTTAGATTCCCAGTCAAAGCTAAATGTGTTATATGATTTATACAAAGCATTTCCCCCCACCTTTTTATTTTGAAAAATTTCAAACATACAGAAAAGCTACAGCCTTGTACAGTGAACACCCATATGATCACCACCTAGATTCTGTGATTACCATCTTGCTGTATTTGCCTTGACATATATCTTTCCATCCGTCGGTCCCACTCTCCGTTCATCAGTTCATCTGCTAGTTCCTGCTATCTCATTTCCAGTTCAGGATGTCAGAAGATTGTAACAAAGTTCATCAGCCAGGCCTCCTCTTTCATTGCAACTTAAACCCAACAAAAACTAGTTTAAGCAAAAAAAAAAAAAAAGTTTGTTGGCTTGTAGAACTGAAGTGTCCCCAGGGTGATAGCTTCTGGCATGGCAGCCTCCAGGGGCCACGATGGTGAGAATCTCTCCTCTCACTGGGTCTCAGCTCAGCTCTCCCCTGATTGGCTTCATCCTCCCCACGCTCCCCCTTGTGGCAGCACCGATGGCTCCAGGCTTACGTCCCCCTCACTTCAGCCATCCCTGCCTAAAGGGCCAACCTGTTCCGTGTACCTGGTAAAATGACCGGCAGTGACCCTGATTGACCAAGCTCTGGCCCCCTGCCCACACCTAGAACCCCACGTGACTACAAGGATGGAAAGTAGGAGGGGGTGTGGCTCCCCAGAGGAAAAGTTGGGTGCTGTCACCAAGACTGGGCGTGCGGGTGCTGAGCAGGGAGAACCGTGGCCGTCCACCCTCCTGTGCTCTGCGTGGAAATGGAGAGAGGCCACTTCGGGATACACTTTGCAGATGTCCTTCTTCCGTCATGGCCCCTTGTGATGCTGCTGTGGTTGATGAGAGTGAGAATAAGAGAAGGAGAGACAAGAAGCCCTGTGTCTGGGCTGCAATTCCAGGGCCTAAGGACCAGCTGCTAGCAAAATAGGGCCTCCCAGGTCCGCAGTTGCTTGGTGGAGTTACCTTCCCTCCCCTCCCTCCCTTCCTCCTTCCCCCCGCCTGCCTGACTGCTTTCTGCAGGTGTCTCTGAGCCACACTCAGTGCAGGTCCCGGGAACACGCCCATGATGGACACACGGCATCTGCCCCCCTTGGGGCGCGCGTTTATGTGATAACCTCTGTGAGGACAGGTGAAGTCAGGGAACTCAGGTCTGAGGGAGACCATCTTGTGGGGTCAGGTCCTCAGCCTGGGATCCCAAGGCCCTCCCAGATGAATTCACATTTATTACACTCACAGGGAGTTACCATGGAAACCAGAGGCCAAATTATAGATTTACAAAGAGAGCCATAACTGGCAAGGCAGCCGTTTCCTGCGGCCAGCACTGCCCTCCCTGACCCTGGAGTCAGACGATCGTCCGTGCATCGGAGGCTGCCCAGGCCCTGGTCCTCTTCCCTCCCACACACGGGCCTGGTGAGCGTGGGAGGCACAGGGCAGAGGGTCTCTGGCTTGTGACTGGTGCAGGCTGTGCCCTGGGGGCTCCATGTTGTGTCTGGTGGCGTAGAAGGGGGCAGACCCGCCCATTCGGCTGTGCGAGAGAGAGCAGTGCCAGCCATGGCGGTTTGAGGGAACGGAAGGCTTGTGAGAACACCAAGGGGGAAAGCGACAAACCTGCAGGGCTGAGAGAATGAGCCATCCAGAGTCCTCACAAGGCCCCTTCGGGGAGCTGGGCCTGTCACTCGTCCCCCTGCCCCTGCCGCCTGCTGCCACAGGCACCTCCTTCCTGTTTGTTGGCAGCCAAACTTGCTCCCACCTCAGGGCTCACTTGCTGTCACCTCTGCCCCCAGGCCTTGTCTTGGCTGGCTGCTGCTTGTCCTATAGGTTCTTGCTCAAATGTGTCACCTCTTCAGAGGCCTTTCCTGACCCCCCGATCTAAGTGGCTCGCACCCACTCCTCCACCAGGTTACTGTTCCTCACATCACCCTGGTTTATTTCCAGTGTCACACTGGCTGTTTTCCAGATGTGTCTTAGTCTGTGGATGTCGCTATTTCCACCGTGAGGCTGAGGAGCACCAACTCTGGGCCAGGTAGCCTGGGTTTGAGTCCCGGCTGTGCCCTTGTTAGCTGACTCACTGTGGACAAGTCACTGGATGTCACTGGAGCAGTAGTGGTAGTCTCTCATACAGTTGCCGTGTGGAGTGTCGAGTTACTGGACACGAAGTGCTTAGAACAGTGCCTGGGCTGTACGGGAGGTGACTTGATCTTGGTGGGTGCCGTCAGTGAGGTCAGCTGGCCTGGCTGGGAGACAGCATCAGTGCCAGAGTCTGCCACCCACACCGTCCATCCCCTGCAGCATACTGGAGTTGCTGCTGGCTTTTGGCACTTTCTTAGGTGTTGCAAATCTGAGTGGAGGCAGGGGTTGGTTGCAGATGGCACTCCCATGGCCTGGTGGCAAGGGGTGGAGCAGAGGTCAGACCTAGGAGCTCATGGGTGGTTTGGCTCCAGGCGCTCTGACCAGGAAGGCTGGGCAGTGTGTAACGTATCCAAGCAAAAGACCTCCAGCCATCGCTGGTCAAAATCCAGTCTCAGTACTGACAGTGGAAAAGCAGGCCGTTCCTACCAACTCCTTTTAGAGTGGGCCTTTCACCGTTCCACTAGCAGAGAAGTGGGGAAAAGACACCATCTGCTGTAGTTACTTCAGTGCCAGCGTGTACTACTGTGTTACGTTAAACGCAGGCTTTGACTTTGGTGATTTGATACGTGGCGCAAGTGACATGCACTTCAGAATTTCCCCTTCCTTTTCTCTTGCAGTTTCGCGTTTGGCTCCCTGATATCGGCTGTCGATCCGGTGGCCACCATCGCTATTTTCAATGCCCTCCACGTGGACCCTGTGCTCAACATGCTGGTGTTTGGAGAAAGTATTCTCAACGATGCAGTCTCCATTGTCCTGACCAAGTAAGTGCAGGGTAGAGAGGACAGACCGCTTCTGCAGGCGACAGAACTAAAGGTCCTTGTAACAAAGGGTCAGATATTTTGAAGCAGCTGCATGTACGGTTTTTTGTCCTCTGGGGAATTGGTTTACCTGTCGTCTTTCTTATCTTTATGCCCTGACAAACCTTCGTGTGCCACAGGAATATTGTGAGGGTCCATGGGTGATTAGGAGATGAGAGTCCCCCTTTTTCGACCTACCTTTTAGTGGTGGCTTCTGAGCTCAGCTTCTCCTTTAGCATCACTGAGCTGCTTATTAAGTGTGACATTCCCAGGCCCGCCCTCAGAGCTTCTGATTCGTTTGGTCTGGGGTGAGTCCCAAGACCATAGGTTTTTAATAAGTTCCCCAGATGAGATGCAGCAGCCATTGGGGGATCAGTGTTTGGGCAGTGGTACTGGGGACAAAAGCAGTAGACAGAGGCCATACTCTCCCACTTAGGAGCTGTTGCATGTCACCTTCATTTTCACAACTGTAAAATGAGATAGTAGTACCAACAGGTTACCTGTCTTGAGATGCTATCATGTAAAAGCTACTTTGGAAACTGCAAATTTTTTTCAAATGTTTATTGGTATTACTGCCTTAGTTGATGCAATCTCAGAAATTAAAGATGAATCATAAAATGTCAATGGAAAAGGAAGTCCATTTAAGATAATCTCAAATGCATTTATCTGATGCAGGGCTGTTTGCTTGGACTCTGCATTTTAAGGTTGGTGGTCATTAACATGTGTGGGCAAGAGACCTAAGAATTTTTGCCAAAACACAGAGAAGGGGTGGACAGTCAAAGCAGTCGAGGACAGTCAAAGCAGTTAGAGAGAGCACGGAGTGTGCCTAGAGTCCCAGCTACTCTAGAGACTGAGGCTGGAGGATCGCTTGAGCCCAGGAGTTGGAGGCCAGCCTGGGCAACATAGGGAGACTCCATCCACCACCCTAGAAAAAAGCAGTTGGGGAAAAGAGCCCTGAATAGTGTATCAGAGATGAGCTAAGAGAACTTTAGAAGCCAATCTATGTTCTCTTCAGAGAATAGAATTTCCACTTACCTGAATACTGACTTGTTTCCTTTGTTGTGGGATTCCTTGCTAAGCATAACTACTCTGTGGTATTAAGAACATTTTCTTAAAAGCTTTGTTAAAGACAACATTCAGAGGATTGGATTTGAGGACTGAACAGTTTAATAGGATGCTATGTGAAAAGTGTGTGACATCAGTTAATGTGACATCCTTTCCTCTTCTACCCCTGCTTCCAGTTATTGTTTCACCATATTTGTCCTGTTTTTGCGCTGGCTTTGCAGGCAGAGCTTACCAAATACTGGCTAATTGCAAGAGGCGCTCAACAGACCTTAAAACAAACAAACAAAAAAACTTTAAAATATATTTGGTATTCAAAAAGTAATACACATATTCTTCATATAAAATTAAGAAAACACACAGGCAAGAAAGAAAGAAAAATCACACACATTGCTAATCCCCAGAGATAATTATGGTTAACAGTTTGGTGGCCGGCCACAGTGGCTCACGCCTGTAATCCTAGCACTCTGGAAGGCTGAGGCGGGAGGATCGCTTGAAGTCAGGAGTTTGAGACCAGCCTGAGCAAGAGCGAGACCCCATCTGTACTAAAAGAGAAAAATTAGCCAGGTTTGGTGGTGCACGCCTGTAATCTCAGCTGCTCAGCTGCTCAGGAGGCTGAGGCAGGAGGATCGCTTGAGCCCAGGAGTTTGAGGTGGCTGTGAGCTAGGCTGACACCATGGCACTCTAGCCCAGGTGACAGAGCGAGACTCTGTCTCAAAAAAAAAACCAATTTGGTGTAAGTATACATATATTTTGTTTAAATGGGCTTATATCCCAAATATAGTATTGTAACTTTTCCATTGAACAGAGTTGATAAAACAATCTTCTAGGACATCGTTTTACTGGTTACAGAGTATTCCTTTCTGTGGATTTACCATGTTCTATTTAACCAATTCCCTTTTATTGGCTTTTTTTCCTCTTGGCAGACATTTCCGTAGCTTTCTTAGGAAATTATCATACATCATGCTGCAAGACCTTTAAACAATCTGATGGCAATATTTTTTCTTATTTAAGATCTATTCTGAAAGCTGCTTAGCTTTCTGGTTTTTACTTTTATCTTGTATCCTGGCTACACATATCGAACATTTGTGATAAGGAATTTTGCCCAACTTGGAAGTGACGTCACAAGTTATTTTTATACATTGGGAGCTAAACTCAATTGCTTTGTCTCTGATTTATTTAAAGGAAAAAAATCTGTCAGAGGTAGGACCTTTTCTGAGCTTTTCCAGGTCTCTCTGCTGTACAAAGGCCAGAGATTAGGAGATATTTTCTATTTAAATGAGAAGTGATGGATTCATTTTAAGTAGCCAAAGGCTCTTACTGAAAAAGTGCTTTTGAAGGCCACGATCACCTAGGATGACATTTCCCACATTTGGATCTGTGGGCCATGTGGATGTCTAGTTTCCAGCCTCCTCTTCCGCCATTAGCCCGACCCCTTCTGAGCTGCAGGCTGGTTTAGGAATCAGTGTCACGGAGTCTTCTGACCATACTGGTCACCTGCCATCAGCATTTGGTGAGGGACCTCTGTGTGCCAGACGCTGCTCAGAAACCAGTTGGATTTAATGAACTCGGTCCATGGTGACGAAAGATGTTTATAGAGAAGCGAACACAATGCCTTCAGTACCGACAACTGTGAAAGATTTGAGGATGGCTTCTCGGACAAGATGCCTTCTGAGCTAGGCCTGGAAGGCCGGTAGGCATTTTCAAACAGAGGAGAGAGAAAAGGGGCATGGTAGACCTGTTTTGGTTTTGTTTTTGTGTTTTTTTCAGTAGTACAGTAAAAAAAAAAACAAACAAACCAAACCCACCACCCAGCTCCTAGGAGCTGTTGTCACCTTTCCTTAGTTATAAAGTAGAATCATACCTTGTTTTTAAGAGGTGCACTTCATGATCAGTCATCTCCAAAGCCATCTGACACATTTATCTTCGCAACCTAACACGTGAGTGAATTACCCCCTTTTGATTGTTGTGACCTTCGTAAGTGCCAGAAAATGAAATGTTTTGTTTCTTCATTAACTTTAATTAAATCATTTTTAGCTTTGATTTAATGCTATGACAATGTATTTTTATAATAATTGCTGTAGAGGAAACCTCTTGTTTTCTCCAGCTACAGCTTACACTCATGAAATAGATCCTGAAGCAGCACTGTCTTTTATTCTTTAAGGTATAAGAAACATAACCTAAGAAATAAAATGTAGAAAGTCACCAGGCCAGAAAGAACCCACTTTCTACTTCCATTTATAATATCTCAAGTTCAGAAACCACTGGTCCAGCCTTGAATCCGCTCACTCTGTTACTCACTCTCTTTGGGCCTCAGTTTCCTCTATATGAAAAGAAAGCAGTGAAACCAGCCTGCGTGCCAGCGTGGCAGTGATGTGGGGGTAAGGCTGGACCCTGGCTGTGCGTGGCCCACAGATCCACTTTTGGGAACGGTAGGTGGCCATGACCTTCAAAAGCACTTTTCAATATGATCCCTTGTTGGCTCTCACCTTCCTCGCAGTGGGACGTTGACTTGTGATCTGCTGGGAAAGAAAGGGGATGGGGAGATTGTGCATTCGGGTAAGTCTGCAAAACTTTCATGTGAAGAAAGTTAGATTTCTTTTTTGCAGAACTTCCCAGAACCTTTATTATGTTATTTGTGCTGTGAATCTCCTCAAAAGCCTTCCTAAGGTTATTTGACCAACTCTCCTTCTATCAGAGATTATTCTGCTTTAAAAATGATACCAATTCATGAAACGCTGATAAATACGCTATTAATGTTGACTATTCTTTGTTTCATTTACTGATTCGGAGAAAAGGTATTGAGTATCTTTTGCGTGCTAGGTAGGCTCTGCTTCAGGCTCTGGGCATGTGGCAGTGCACGAGATGCACACAGGCTTGGTCCTCACGGAATAATGCCCTGCCGTTTTCCCGTGCTGTGAAGGAGAGGTCAGGCACCATGAGAACCTATAAATGGGCTGGTCCGTGTGAAGGGGTCAGGGATGCTGGGGCCAGGGAAGGGTGAAAGATGACCTACTGGGAGGTGCCAGTGCCAGGATGGCCCCATCCTGAATGAGAGGAGGTGAGGTCAGAGAGGTACAGGGGACAGGAGCCAGGTCGTGCTAAGAAGACTAGGCTTCCTCCCTGGAGGACTTTTGAAAGGGCTGGTGATCTGATTAGATCTGCATTTGAAAGGGTCATTCAGGCCGCTGAGTGTAGAGCTGGTTGGTCTGTAGGAAGACAAGGATGTCTAGAGGGAGATGAGTGAGGCGTATCCCTGGGAGGAAAGGGTCGTACAAGAGAGGAGTGGATGCATTTGAGAGCCGGTCAGGAGGTAGGATGAGGTGGGATGACCAAGGAGGATATTTAGTGAAATCACTCCTTGCTAATGGTAGAATGCTTTTCCCTTTGGGAACAAAACCAACGATTGAATTTAATGGCTTCTGACATTGTACTTTGTTCTGTTACAGTGAAAGGAAAGTTGTGGTGAAAGGAAAGTTCTTTCAATTTTTTTTTCTTTAATGCCTCCTAAATCCTCCCTCTAGGCTGAAAACCCCTGACATTTCTTCTTTGGGCCGCTCCATTCTGTTCCGACATCTTGCCATAGCCTCTATTTCAGGCTTTGTCGCAGGATTCCTATACTGAAAAGGAAGTGGACTCCCCCAGGCCTTCAGGATGAAATGCCAACACCTTCCCCAGCTTCTTCCCAGCCTCTGCCCCTGCCTGCTGCTCTTGCCTTGTCTCCTGCCGCTCCCCCCACCCCCTACCCCCCACTTCCTGCTCCCTGAATATTCCCACAATGCACTGCCTGTGCTTGGGCTCCCTGCCTCCTGCCTTTGCACATGCTGTTCCCTCGGCCTGGGGTGTTTTCCCTCATGTCTTCACCTGGGCAGCTCTTCTTTATCCCAAATCTAAACCCAGCCCACATATTCTCAAGCACTTTCTTCACCCCCCACCAGTCTGAGCTAGATTCCCAGCCTGTGTTTCTGTTGCCCTTTGCCCTTCACCCAGATCATCATCTTGTTTTTCTCCCCCATTGGCCCGGGGGAGCTCCTCGAGGGCGAGGACTGTGCTCTCACCTCTGAACCCCAGGAACTAAGGTCACACCTGGGACAAAGTGAACAAATAAACATGTGACTGCTGACTGAATGGTGGGATGAATGCATGAATGAGGGAAGGAGCAGGAAGTAAGTTTGAAGTTCTAAGTTAATTTCTAAGAACTTTGTGTATAACATTTTAACTTCTTTCTGTTTTCTTTTATTTCCTAGCACAGCTGAAGGTTTAACAAGAAAAAATATGTCAGATGTCAGTGGGTGGCAAACATTTTTACAAGCCCTTGACTACTTCCTCAAAATGTTCTTTGGCTCAGCAGCGCTCGGCACTCTCACTGGCTTAATTTCTGCATTAATATCCTTTTAATGTGCTGAACATGCAGGGCTGAGATTATTCTTGATCATACCCATCTCCAGCCAGTTTCTCCTGTTCCTTAGTGGGGCCCATTTTAGACTAAGGTTTTGTTTGAAGGAGCATTTCTGTGCTTAGTTTTGGTTTGAGAAACACTCTAATTTAAACTCAAGGATTTTTAAATTTAACACGTGAAATTTAGGATGTCACCTTTCAAAGCTTAAAAAACATGAACGCTACTGGATATCATAAGTGGTTTGGGGGGCTTCTCAGTTCTCAGAGTATGATAACCACATGCAGAGGATTTTCATTTTCCACCGTCTCACTTTTCACATTCAGAAACTCAGACAATAATTTGCTTTGAAAATGTCAACTTGAGAAAATCTTTACCCCCACTGAAAGTGTTCATCTGAAAGGATTAGAAAAGGGATTTTGAAAGTGTGCTTCATAAAAGTTATTTGCACTGATTGCGTTGTTTAACAACCCATAAGCTTTTCCAGCCAGACAAGGAAAGAGGCTTGTTCGGGCCAATGGCACCTTTATTGCTGTAGAAAATGCATTATGTTTAAAATAGGAGCAGACACCAGACCATTTCTGTGTGCGCCTAAGCCTACATCTCAGGGAGATGGCCACCTGGCCCTCCTCCACGAGCAGTTTGTTTCACAGATGGCTGGAAAAGACTCTTTTGCCTGGTTAAAGGCATGTTTTTCTGCCATTTTGTTGAATTTTCCCATCAACTCCCTTGTCCAGAAGTCTAAAGGCTCTATTGAGTTGGCTGACAGCTTCTCATATTGTACCAATAAACAGAATGGAAGAGAAAACTTTTTCCAGTTAAGTAGTTTCCTCTACATTTATATTTCTTTTCCTCTTCTTTTTCTGTTTTTTTTTTTGAGACAAAGTCTCACTCTGTTGCCCTGAGTAGAGTGCCGTGGCATCAGCCTAGGTCACAGCAACCTCAGATTCCTGGGCTCAAGCAATCCTACTGCCTCAGCCTCCCAAGTAGCTGGGACTATAGGTGCCTGCCATGACGCCCAGCTTAATTTTCTATTTTTAGTAGAGACGGGGTCTCGCTCTTGCTCAAGCTGGTCTCAAACTCCTGAGCTCAAGCCATCCTCCCACCTCGGCCTCCAAAGTGCTAGGATTACAGCATTGAGCCACCGTGCCTAGCTTCTTCTTCTTCTTCTTCTTTTTTTTTTTTTTTAAGAGATAGACTCCTGCTATGTTGCCCAGCCTGGTCTCTAACTCTAACCTCCCAAGTAGCTAGGACTATAGGTGTGTGCCACCTCGCCTGGATTTTTTTTTTTTAATTGTTTAGAGACAGGGTCTCACTATGTTGCCCAGGCTGGTCTTGAACCCCTTGCCTCAAGCAGTCTTCCTGCCTCAATCTCCTGAGTAGCTGGGACTACATGCTTGAGCTACCATGCCTGGCTATCGTATTTACCTTTTTCTTTTAAAAAAAAAAGTATCTAGTGAAATGAAATGGAGCAAATGGGTATAAGAGCTTTAGTACAGGTATGGTGAACAATATTAGAATACATAGAACACTCTTTCCTTTCCTAGGGGCATGAGTTTAGAAATCTCCAGGAATAGGAAAGACTGTTCTTCAACAGGGCATTGAACCCCAGAGTTCTGGAAAGCAAGATGGGTACCCATTAGTTATCTCATCTGATGTCGACGGAGGAGGTGGGAGGGGACACAGCCCTGGGGGGACCTGGCAGTGTGGGCTGCCCTGGCATGTTTGCAACCCCAGCTTTTGCCCCATGCCCCTGGGCACATTTCCAGCTCTCTAAGTCAACATTTTTAAATGAGTGGACTTAGGCTTATTTTAATTTTCTCCCACCATTTGTCTCTGGAATTTCTGTTTCTTAGTGTTTTGTCAGATTCCCTTTCTTATAACAGCAGTCTCCCTACAAAGAAAAAATTCCATAATGCCAAAATTTCAGTTGTGATCTTGGGATATTCCAAAATTTTTTGCATCTGTTGTTTATATATTTAGAAGGCAGCAATTTTTGTTGTTATTGTTGTTTTTTGAGATGCAGTCTTGCCACGTTGCCCAGGCTGACCTCAGAACTCCTGGGCTCAAGCGATCCTCCTGCCTCAGCCTCCCAAATAGCTGGGATGACAAGTGCATGCCACCATGCCCAGCGGGCAGCAGTTTTGTGACTTCAGCTATCCCTTGATTCTTTTTCCTTAACAACTGTCATTCACGTGCTAAAGCATATTGACTTGAGGAAAACGCCTTCCTTGGAGTTTGGCATGATGATCATTTTTGCTTATCTGCCTTATGGGCTCGCAGAAGGAATCTCATTCTCAGGTAAGTGACAGAGAGCCTGGAAATGCTGCGGCGGTGGCACATTGTCCTGCCTGTGAAAGAGGTTTTGTCAATTAAGTCACTTTCAGTCATAAGAGACAGTCCACAACCCAGAAGAGCTTAAGCCATAAAGGGGATTTAGGCCTGGCTGGATCCAGGAGCTCAAACAGTCACTTTGGTGTCATGGGCACCTTTTCTCTTGACCCACTTTCTCTCTTTTATCTCCGCTCAGCCTTAGGAGGCTCCCTGATGAATATGGAGCTGGTGGGAGGGAGGTACTGTGAAGGTCCATGATAAGAAAACCGAGGTTGAGAGAGATTGAATGAATTGCCCAGGGTCACAGCTGAATTGGTGAAACAGCCATTAAAACTAATTGTCTTTGACTCAGGAAATGATGCTTAGATGCCCTCCTCTAATACAACTGCCTCCAAAACAGATGATCATAAAGCCACGTACTGAGTGCTACATAGAGGGACGAGCAAAGTGTAGCCATGGTGTAATGATGTAATAGCAGAGTATTCAGTTGTTTAATGCTCCCACCACTCCTGTGGGGGAGGTTCTGAGAGGTTAAGGCATCAGCTGAAAGCTGCACAGGTAGTAGGTGGCTGCAGTGAGATTGGAACCCAGCTTGTCGAGCCCCAGAGCCTCCTCCCTGCACCCCAGTGGAGGAGGACACGCAGTTCCCAGCAGCAGAGACAACTCCTTGACCGGGTCCTGGAAGATGGGGCTCACCAGCTGGAGCAGGAGTGGCCACTCACAGAGTAACAGTGCTTGGAGCCCTCACCTCCTTGAAATCAGTCAGCAGCTCCTGTTTGCAAGGGGTGGCTTAGTTGGTCTTTCTGCCCCCAAGTGGCAGTCGAGCCTGCGTCCACGGTTTGTTAAATTGTAAGGAGGTTGACTCGGACGGACGTGGAGGCTGCGTGCCATGTCTGGAGCATGACTCGACCCTGCCCCATGTGAGGGGTGCAGCTGAGTGGGAAGGGCTCCGCCCCCGGCAGTCTGACCCCATCCTTTGAGTGAGGCCCTTCAGAACTTTGTTCTGGAAATTCGGATCCATTGCAGGGGATGTGTTGATCTCTGCCACAGGATGGCTTTTCTTTTTTATTAATTTTGTGGAGGTATAATTTACATACGATAAATGCACCTATTCTAAATGTTCTGATGAATGTATGCAGTGACACAGCCACCCTCATAGTCAAGATGTGGTACATGTCATCACCCGCGTGGCTCCCTGTGCCCTCTGCAGTCAGCCCCTCTGCCCATCCTGAGCACTGGCACCCACTGATCTGCGCTGCCATCATAGTTTTGCTTTTTCCAGAATGTCATATAAGTGAAATCATGTAGTATGCAGTCCTCTGTGTCTCATTTCTTTTAGCTGCCATCATGTTTTCGAGAGACAGCCATGTTTTTGCATGTATCCGTGGTTTATACGTCCTTATTTGTCCATTCACCATTTGAAAGATGTTTGGGTTTTCCCAGATTTTGGCTATGAACAGTTTTGCATGTTTTCATTTATCTTGGGTAAATACCTAGGAATGAGGTTGCTGGGTCATCTGGTAAGTACATATTTACTTTCTTAGGAACTGCCAAGCGTTTTTCAAAGTGACTGTATAATTTTACATTCCCACCAGAATGTGTGAGAGAGTCCCAGTTGCTTCGTATTGTCACCAACGCTTATTTTAATTTTTAAAAAGTTTAGCCATCCTGATAGGTGTGTGGCAATTGGATTCGGAGGAACCTTGATGTGATTCTCTTTATGTTCTGCTTGGGGTTCACTGAGCTTCTTGGATTTATAGTTTATGTGTTTATGGCTTTTGTCAAATTTGGTAAATTTTTACCCATTTCTTTCTTTTTTTTTTTTTTTTTGAGACAGAGTCTCACTGTGTTGCCCGGGCTAGAGTGCCATGGCGTCAGCCTAGCTCACAGCAACCTCAAACTCCTGGGCTCAAGTGATCGTCCTGCCTCAGCCTCCCGAGTAGCTGGGACTACAGGCATGCGCCACCATGCCCAGCTAATTTTTTCTGTATATTTTTAGTTGTCCGATTAATTTCTTTCTATTTTTAGTAGAGACGGGGTCTCGCTCTTGCTCAGGCTGGTTTCGAACTCCTGAGCTCAAACAATCCGCCCGCCTCAGCCTCCCAGAGAGCTAGGATTACAGGCGTGAGCCACTGCGCCCGGCCCTACCCATTTCTTTAAACGTTTTTTTCTGCTCTCCCTGCCCCCCAGAGACTCCAGTGACTCTGGTTATGACAGCGTGCTCTTGGCCCACAATATGCTCTGCCCTTTTTTTTTTCCAGTCTTTTTTTCCCCCCTATATGCTTCATTTTGGTCAGTTTCTATGGCTGTGTCTTCACCGCCTCTGATCTTTTATTCTGCCATGTGGACTCTCTGTACATCCCATCCATTTTATTTCTCACTTTAGATAATTGTGTAATTTACCTAAAATTCCCTTTGGGTTATTTTTATATCTTCTCTCTCTCTCTTCATCCTGTATGTGTTTTTTCTCTATATCCTTGAGCATATGAAACATGTTTATAATAGCTCTGTTCATGTCCTTGTGAGCTAATCAATTCTAGGTCTGTTCTATCAATTTTTCCTCTGCTTATGGGTCACATTTTCTTGCTCTTTGCTTGCTATTAATTTTTTATTGAATGCCAGTCACTGTGAACTTTATGTTGTTGAGTACATAAAGATTTTATCGTATTCCTTTATAGAGTTCTGGACTTTTCTTCCGGCATGTATCTAAGTCTCTTAGAATGAGTTTATTCCTTTTCGAGGGTTACTTTTAAACTTAGGGCAGGTCCAGAGTAGCAGTGCCCTAACAAGCAACACCCTGCCGAGGCCTCTGCCTCACACCTTGTGTGTTATGAGGTCATTCCACTCGGCTGGTGGGAACGCAAACTATTCCAAGCCCCACCCGCGTCACCTTTGGGAATTGTCCGGCCTACTGCTTTTTAGTGGTTCTTTCCCCAATCTGTTGGAATTTCATCCTACACATGTACAGATCAGTCGGTATCAGGCAACGATTCACGGGGACTTTATTGTGGATCTCCAGAGCTCTCCTTCTCCGCAGCTTCCCCCACTCTAATCTGTCTCCTCCTCTCAGCAAGACAGACTGCTGGGCCCTCCCTGAGCCTCAGCCTGTTTGCCGCCTCCAGGCAGTAAGCTTGGCCAGGGGTCTGGGAAAAGAGCGGCCACCATGTTTGCTCCTACCTTGCCTTTTATCCAGTGTCAGAAAACAGTTTTGTTTCCTATCTTGTATCAGGTTTTCTGTTGTTTACATCAGGACAGTGATTTGTGTAGCAGCTGTTTCTTTATGGGCAGAGTGGAAATCCCTGGTGGTTTTTGATGGTTCCGTTGAATGGAATTCTACGTCCTGCAGCTCACTAGCTGGAGTCACACCTGGGTACTTTGTGAACAGATCTTGCGAAGGAGGAAGCAGAGAGGACTCTAGCCGTTTTCATTGGCGAACTCTTTGTAAACCTCAGGTTTTTTTTTTTTTTTTGTCCCGTTTTATTTTGTTTTGTTTTGTTTGAAGATGAGGTCTCACTGTGTTGCCCAGGCTAGACTCAAACTCCTGGGCTCAAGCAATCCTCTCACCTTAGCCTTCTCAGTACCTGGGACTACAGGTGGGCCACTGTGCCAGGCTTGGTTTTGTTTTTAATCCCAAACCAGTTTACCAGCATAATTTCACCCAGGCATCTGCCATCAGGTTCCCTCTCTTATCAGTACTGAATGTTGGCACTTGATAAACATTACCTGTGAGTCACTAGCTATTTTTACTTCTGTTTTTCTAAATTATTCCTCCACCCCCTTGAGATTATCATTGAGTACCTGTTGGCAAAGATATATTTCACGCATCTGAAATTTGTGATTAAAACAAAGGAGTGTTTTTCTTGTTTTTTCTTTAGCGTGGCAGTGTTTTCTGTTTATAGGGGTTTCGTTTCCTTAGGGACTTTACTCCACACACTGACGGGGCCAGACAGAGCAGCGCAGGCCGCAAACATGCCATCTACCTCTGGGAGACGGGACTGGCTCTGTCTGCACTTTGCCGTTAGGGAATTTGTCAGGTGGGTGTTCAGAGAGGGTTAGGATGGCCTTTGTGTGTCGTGTGGACCCTCCACATCATGCTGTGAGAGTACAAATGGGAAAGATGGCGTTTCTGCTGTCCTCTCCTTCCTTTCTGTGCTCCCCTCTTCCTGTCACCAAGGACTGATAGTGGTTCCCAAGACCAAGGAGCAGGATATTCTCTTCCCAGGGATCGTGGATCATTTACCTAAATCCACATGTTTAGAACGCAGTGGTTCGGACTTGGGCTGTATAACAGACAGACTTGGGTCTGAATCCCAGCTCCCCCCTCACTAGCCGTGTAACCTCAGACCACAGGCTTAACCACTGTAAGCATCCACTTCCTCTTCATAAAACAGACATCATAAAAGGGCCAGCCTAAGGCATGTGCTGAGGATTAAAGGGAGCCAGCATAAGTCAGAGTCCTGACAGGGGCATCAGTGTGTATTGCTGCTGGGGTGACCATACATACTGGTTGGCCCTGAGTCCCTCTGTTTTCCCCTGTTGTCCCAACATGATGAAGTAATAATATGCCCTTCCATTCTCAAAAATGTCCTAGTTTCAGCTGGGCAGGGTGGTGCACACCTGTGATTACAGCTACTTGGGATGCTGAGGCAGGAGGATCTGTTGAGCCCAGGAGTTCGAGGCTACAGT